AGAGAGAGAGGAGCAAACCTGATTTTGACAGAGTTTCGCTAGAGATGCAGAAGTGAAGAAACAAAAGCCGAGTCCCTCCTATTTATAAAGAGGTCTGGACGGTTATCGAGAGTCATCATGAGCTCGGCGACTCTTCACATTTCTAACTCTTTTTATATAAATCGGCCTCTTCATCTTCTCCTGCTAGGGTTTGACACGTGTCAACCCTAGTTCTGCATGCGAAGGCCTAGGCCTATCCTACATCATTTTTGGGCGGGAGCTTTTCGCGCCTAAAACCACAATCTGGTCCTCGTCACCGTGCCGATCAGAAATCCAGGTAACAATTTCATTATATTTCTAACTCTTTTGCAGCCGACTAGAATTCACATCGAGCAACATTTCTCTAAATTCGACAATGCATCCTCGCTTGTCGAACTGGGGGGGGGACTTACTGTTAGAGATGAGATTCGTACCGTCTCTAACAAGCCCGATATGAATTCTAGTCGGTCTATCAAACAAATCCCAGGTCGGCAACATAAAAGGAAAGCTTCCATTTATCAAGCGACCCGGAGAAAAAGGAAACTCCTTGCCGACAAGAGTTTCCTATTCCGAACAGGATGAAGACCGACCTGATTGGGTATAAATATAGGAAGTCCTCGACTTCTCAATCCATCCAAAATCATTGATCAAGACCTAGAGCAAACTAAGCAATCGAGTTGTTCTAGACTTTTGATTTACTTCTCTGAAAGTTTTAGGTCGGCGTTCTTATTCCGACGACCTAAACACCGTTGTATTCAACTAAAGCTCCGGCTTCTTCTAATAAAAGATCTCTTAAAACCCTCAAACCCTAGTTCTTCTATAAGTCGAACTTGAGTTTCGAACTTCCGAAATTTGAGTAGTAATATAAAAATATAAAAAAATTCCCACTTATTGAGTAAAAAAATTATGTGGAGGGTCTACACATATTATATGGTTACATATCTGACCAAATTCTGAGTTGTAATATAAATAGACACTAATACTCAAGAGATGATCAATCTTGTGGAAGAGACAATTCAGGAAGGTCTTGCTAAAGTTTGGGAAGCATTCCTAAATACTTCTCAATCTAAGTTATTGTATAAATGGATACAAAACACACATTTTAAGACAAATTTTTGATCATTTAAAAACTTACTAAATATTCAGGTAAACATTGAATAATTTTTTAATTTTTTACAATATGACATATCTGAACAAATTTGAGTTATTGTATAAATCTATTACTAATAAAAGTTGATGCTAAATGCATTTAAGGGTGTCCACATAGGATTTAAATGATATAATTCTATTGGTACACATCATCATTTATAGTTAATTATATATATATATATATATATTAAAATTAATTAATTTCATTTTTATTATTATTAGTAAACTTTCTAAATTTTAATTATTTTTATTTTTGTTATCATTGGGAAAATTTCTAAATTTCTAGATAATTATTAATAAAAATGAGTTTAAAATATATAGAAACTAGATCTTATTTTTTTATTAAGAATAAATAGAAAATTGACATATTATTATATTATAAAAATTATATAAATTATAAAAATATTTATTTCATTGGTCCACATCATTTTCTGTAATAAATTATATTTTCAAGTTAATTAATTTCTTTTTTGACTTACTTCTATAATATATAAAAATTGAAGGCATAGTGCATTAAAAACGTCCACATATGATTAAAAATCTTAATATGATTGGTCCACATCAGCATTTTTCATTAAACAAAATATGTTAAATATGATTAGTAATTTGAATAAATTAAAATATACAAAAAAAAAGAAAAATATCATGGTAGAATGGAAAATAAAGATAAAAAAGTTTAACTAACAAAACAGATAAAATAAATTATGTCAGAAATCCAAATTTATAGCTTTTGTCAAAATAAAATGGAAACAAAATATCACAAAATCTAAACCAATAAAAAAACAAATATGTAAATCTATAACGAAAAAGTAAATTTTACAAAAGAAATTTAAATATACTTTAAATAAAAAATTTGTTTAAATTTAGCCTTAAACTAACAATTAAAGAAATCAATATAAAAAAAACTAAAGCTGTAAAAGAACTATTTCAGAAAGTAATATAAAAATAAAAAAAAAAACAAATAAAATGTAAATTATGTTTTAAAAATGTTAATACAATTAAAATTGAAATTAATATAAAAAAATATTTTAAAAATCATTGAAAAACAAATTGAGTTGATATATATGCTAACTATTTAAAAAAAATTAATATAAAAGAGTCTCATTAACAGAAAAAAAGAAAATTAACTGTAAAAATGTTAATATTTACTAAACAATTATGTTTCAAAATTAAATAAGAATCAATATAAAAAAAGTAAACCCATAAAGAAAAAAAAGTCATATAAAAAAACTAACTTGATATTTAGGCTAATAATTTTTTAAAATTAACATAAAAAAATCAATAACAGAAAGTTAAATTAACAAAATAATTTTTTCTTAACATATATACTTTAAATGACTATTAAAGAAATAAATATAAAAAATAAAGCTTTAAACAAACTATTTAAGAAATTAATATAAAATTAAACAAAAACAAATAAAATATAAATGATGTTTTACAAAATATTAATAAATTTAAAATTGCTAATAATGACAAAAACAAATATTAAAACAATCATCTAAAAAATTGACTTGATATATATGGTAACTATTTAAAATTTTCAATATAAAAGAACTTCATTAACAGAAAGAAAAAAAAAATTCTGTAAAAATATCAACATTTACAGAAAAATTATGTTTCAAAATTAAATAAGAATCAATATAAAAAAGTAAACTAACAACGGAAAAATTTATAAAAAAGCTAACCTAATATTTTGACTAACATTTTTTAAAAACTAACATTAAAAACTTTAAAAACAAAAACAAAAACAAATGATGCAGTAATATTTTGAGATAAATCGATATTAGATTTAAAATGAACAGTTATAGTATGTCAAATCAACATTATAACTAAAATAAAAACTAATATTAAAAAAGAAAATATAAAAACTAAAAAGCATTCAAGTAAAATAAATTAACTTGATATCTATGCTAGCTATTTTGAGAATCAACAACTAAAAAGTTTAATCATAAAAAAAAAAATCCTAAGTATAACAAACATACAAAAAAAATTATATAGATTAAAATAAAATATAAATTTACTATCAAAAGATGTAAAGTAAAAGATTTTTAAAGTATTGATATCTACAATTAATAACTATATAAAGTTGCAATAAATTTACATAATTTTTTAAATCAAACATATTCTTTAAATATACAAAAGTTAATATAGTAGGTACTTCTGACTTAAAAACTAACAAAAAATACTACATAAGTAATTTTACACTCGAAATATAACAAGCAATAAAGTCTGATATATATATATATATACTACTTATATATGAGGCAACATTAATAACATATGAGTAACACCTTCTAAAATTTTATTTAAATAATAAAATATGATAGAGTTAAGAATCAAACTCAAATTGATATATCTAGATAAAATATTCAAATTAAAATATGCAGAAAGCACAGAAGATAAAAACAGTAAAACAAATATAAAGACTGGACACCATCCATCCTACAAGTTTAAAAACTAGAATTATCAAATATTAGATGGCCAAAAAAAAATTTCAATGATAAACTGAATAAAGATACAAAAAAAAAAACTCATGGAAAACATGATGGAGAAGTAGGAAACGGCTTTGTACGATCATTGCAGTTTCTAACAAAACTAAATGTGAATCAACATGAATCATGAATTATATATATGCATAGATACACAACATCAATGATATATTTAATCAAAAAATTAAAATTTTAATATATAAACCCTACAGAAAAAAAGAAATGTAGAATTTCTATGGAAATTAAACAAAACACCAAAATCTTAGCAAAGAAACCATTCTCTAAATCTCACGTGTTTGCATGTCAAAATTGGATAATTTGATAAGCGGCATTGTTATTATTTTATTTAGTAAGATTCATTTTTTTATAAACAAAAAATTAGGGAAAATTATATGTTGTGTTTTAAATTCTCTTTTATAAAAAAAGGAAATTTTATATATCTATTATAGTTTTGATAATTTAAAAAGTAATAACTAAAAAAAATTAAACCAAACTACTAATACAGACTCACGCGTTAAAAGCCTAGTAGATACAAAAGTTTAAATTTATACAGTTTTCGAAAAACTTTCATAAATCGATTGGACCGTCCAATTTGGACGGGTTACTAATTTTAAGTTATTGTATAAATGGACACAAGGAAAAGATTCTTGCCGAGTCTCTCTCCTCTCACATGTATCTTTCAGAGAGAGATATCGTTCTTCTCTTTTTGCTTGTATTATTTTTCTTTGTTACCGTTTTAGTTCGGTCAATAATTCCGACATGTTCGGCTTTCTCTCCGACTTTGTTCGGTTTTTGTTTGCTTTTGTTTTTTTTCGTTTTTCTAGTCTCATCCTCTTCTCCTCTCTTTTCTGCATATTTCCTCTCTCACCGTTTTCTTGGTTCTTTCTTTTGAAGAGTATTAATTCTTTGCTCTTTTATAGGACCTATGTTAGGTTTCAAGCAAAGTTTCTCTTTCAAAATTAAGTGCTAAGTTGTTTGATTAACTTGTTGAATTAGTAAATTTTGGCTGCTTCTTCAATTTAAGTTTTTCATTGTTTTCATCATCGGTGATAGACGAAACTTCAATTCTCTAAGGTGGCGGCTTCGACGAGAAGAGTGTAAGGAGCAGAAGTTTTCAGCAGTAGCTTCGAGATCGGTGCGGTTTCAGGCGATGACATGCTCTAGCGGTGGTCGGCGGTGTTGGAAGATCGACTGTTGCATTTGTCTTCTCTATGTTAGATACGTGTTTCTTGGTTTTGTTTCTCTTGTAACACGTTCATAGACACGTGTTCTTAGCTAGAGTTTTGGTCCTATTGGGCTTTATTTTTCGTTTTTTTATATTGGGCCTTCGTGCTGTATTTCTGCTCAGGGGTTAATCTGAAATCAAGTTGACAAAAAAAAAATATATATATATAAATGGACACAAAATACATGTTTTAAGATGATTTGTTTGGCCATTTAAAAACTTACTAAACATTCAAATATGCCTCATGAAACCTGTTTCTTCCAAGAAGGTCTATAGATAATCAATAAAAGGGGCTAAAAAAACCTTCTCATTAAACTCGTTTAATTGCTTAATGAAAACTGCTATTTCCTCACTCAGGTGATACAGAAACTGCAGGTTATCAAAAACATAAGATATTAGCTTGACAAAGCATATATTGTGGCTCGGGAAGTCTAATCAGAGAGCATAAGATTTCAAAAGAAAATGATAATGTAAAGAGTGGTTTAATTTGTAGCATACACTCCAACTTCGTGATTACTTGCAACTTAAATAACACTTTTGAGAATTCTTCGTTTTTACTTTAGTAAACCTCTTTTTTTTTTGCACCCAGAGCACAATTATCAGAAAAAGCTAAAACGTGATATCAATATGAGCTTCAAGGATTCTTCGATTTGATTCAGAGCTTTCTATTTATCTTTGATGCTTTTGGATGGATTACACGTCTCTTGTTGCTATCAGACTGCTCGACTTCAATCCAGCTTTAAACTCTGAGAATCAGAGATTGCGGAACCTTCTTCACGTCTGCATCTTCAGGGCCTCTAGATTTCTTCATACCTTTCTCCAGAGCCGTTTCGATGAACTCCATGAACCAGTTTGCAGCTTCGTCCTCGATCTCCTTCGCCAGCCTTATCGTGTTGCTTATTCCTCCACAAGCCGCTGGGTTCTTGTTCTCATCATTTGATCTCAGTGTTTTCCCTTCACCCTGCTGCTTCAGGATAAGCCGCCACTTTGTTCTGTTCCTCCCTGATCAATAGAGTTATAAGCGATCTCGTGCAGGACCGAAGACTCTTCTTCTCCTGGTCTCTGATTTTCGGTTCTTGTGTTTATGCTCTGTGACTGGTTCTCTCCTCCAATGGATGCTATTTCGGATATTGTTTGTGCCATCTGTTAGTGAAACTCCATGAACTTGTCAAAGCAAACGGCAGGGCAATCAGGTTTAGCTGATTTGCTCAGATTAGCAAGTGTCCTGTTCCCAAGAAAACCACATCAACATATCACAACTCAAACTCAAATCCGGTTAAAAATATAAGAGGAGGATTTTTATTTTATATACTTGATATGAAGAAAGACTGTTTCGGTAGCTGCAGCTTCTCGCAATGCCTGAACTTGAAGGGCAATCTTTTGAGCTGTTTCCTGAAGCTAAGTTGCTTCCTGTCACCAAAGTAACACAAAAGAAGATTGAGCCTCAATAAAGATGGGAACTTCAATCAAAGCAAATCGAGTTTATATAACCTTGCTTATGTGTTGATATTGTTATCTTTCAAGAGTTTCATCAGCTTAATATACTGAGATTCCTGTCTTAAGGAAGCCGTCTTCGTCGATGTGGACAATGGAACAACATCTTCTTGAGCCACTCTGCAAAAAAAAAAGGCAAAAGCAGCAATCAAGAAACAAAGCTCTGTCTTGAACAAACCATTATGTTTATATCAATAGAATGTTAAAAGCAAACGAAGAACAACAAATGTACCTACAGAGGATTTGAAAGGAGTGAGAACAGAAGCTGATGTATTATTGTTCCTTTTCGCTTCTCTGTCACAGACACTTCTACTTCTCGGAAACTTTGAAGCCGACGGAACAGCACAGCTCTTTCTCAGCATCGCCGGACTCTCTCCATCCATCGGAGCCAATGAAATCATGGTTACTCCATTCCTCTAACGTTTGATGCAAATCACAGCCCTATAAAACTCCACAAGACCGAACAATTTTGCAATGATTCGCACAAATCAAAACAAACCCAGATCCCAAGAGAATTTCAGAGAGAAAAATCAATTGTTTTGAAAAATACCCGGGGAGAAGAGAACGATCAGCGGATTCGAAAGATTTCTTCAGATCCGATTGTCTGTAACACAGAATGTCCATTTCATGCTTAAATCCCATACAGTTGTAGGTTTGTTCGGAGAGAGCCATAAACGCTCAATTCGGGTCACGTAGATGCTTGATGGATCCGGTTCGACATCATCGTTGTAAATCCATGGGAAAATCGCTGTTGTTTCTCCGACTTGATGACGAACGGAGATTTGATGCCGATGCCGAACTGTGTGGTGAAGCGAAAAAAAATGGTTCACGAGTTTAATGAGGGTAATAACGTCTTTTGATTAATTTAGGAAGGTAATAATGAGGGTAATAACGTCTTTTGATTAATTAAATTAGGAAGGTTTTATGTTATTGTAATGAATTTCTCTTTTCCTAATGAAACAGAGTGGAGTGATGAGCAGCCATAAGAGAAAGTATCCAAGTAAATGGTGTGCATCAACATCACAACAAGAAGACCCTGTTGCTACCGTAAAAGTAGTGGATTATTTCGTTATTCATAGATCACAGAAACAAAACGGATAATGTTAGATATGAATCAGTTCTTCACTGATCCATGATTGTTTCCCTCTCATTTCTATAGATTTAGAATGTAACGTATGTAGCCTCTCTGCTTCTTGTTTGCTATGAATGAAGATTAATGGAATATATACGCGGTTGGATAGGTTTTAAATTCCAGTATTCTCTATACTTTGCATTAATCATAGGTTTGGAATCAGATGAGTATATATATATATATATGATTTAACTTCATGAACCACAGTAACACCCTTCTCTTCGGTCTTTTTGACAGATGGGCTGCTCGGTTGAGGTTGTTCATCTTCTGCAGAGTCAAACAGCAAACAATTCCATGTTTTCAAGCCCATTACCCCTCAAGACTTGTTAGAGATTCCTCCTGCTTGACTGCTTGAAAATAGGCTTGGTGGGCTGCTTGTGGTCAAACCAAACTGGCCACTGCTAAAACCAAATGGATTGCTGGAGAATGCTCCAGGCTGGCTTGAAAACAAACCAGACTGACTAATGGAAAAATTGGAAGATTGGTAGTTGTTGATTTCTTTGTTGTTAAATTGCATGTTTAAGGAAATTATAACGAGGTGTGTGTGTGTATGTGATATGAGATAAGGTGCCAAAAGATTGGAAGCTGGAAAAAGATTGAGATTCAGAGTCAAAACAGAGTGGAGTGATGGGCTATAAGAGAAAGTATCCAAGTAAATGCTGTGCATCAACATCGCAACAAGACCCTGTTGCTACCGTAAAATTAGTGGAGTATTTTGTCATTCATAGATCACAGAAAGAAAACGGAGTATGTGCGCAGAATGTAAGGTATGGATCAGATGTCTCGATCCTATGATCGTGTTACCAAACCAACCTGCAAAAACAAAGATATATACAAGTTAAATAATAGGTAAGAGTGTTAAATCTGCAAAACACACAGAACTTACTCGTGCGGGCGTCGGGCCCGGTCGTTAGGACCTCTTGGTGTAGCCCTCACTTGGACATCCCTGAAATCGTATCTATTTGCTGGTGCAACACCTCGACGCATCTGCACAAGCGGTACAAGCCCTCGCCAGGATCGTTGGATAAGACTGACAAAATAAAAGGAAACCAGAGGTTAGCTAAGTCGATTGGCGTTAAAAATCGGAGTTTGTAATTGTTTTAACTCACCTAAGTATTCCATGATTAAGCGAGCAACATTGGGTCTGTCTTCCAGTTTCCCGAGCAACTCGCTGAGAAACTTACTAAAGGAAACCCATCCGGGTTCATCATCGTCAGGAACATCATCGCCAGGGTCATCATCTTCAGGGTCATCATCGTGAGGGTAATCATCGTGAGGGTAATCATTGCCTGCTGGAACATTAGACACTGGCCGTGGTTGATCGCCGCGTGGTTCTCCTCCCCCAAATATCATTAGGTATTCTTCGTGTGTGAGAGGACACTCATTATCTGGAAGACGTGTGGCAGTGGAAGAAGAGCTTCCTCTATCCCAAATTGCTTGCCTTTCTCTGAGTTCTTCTGAGCCTATCTCACAAATTGTATGGGATTCTAAGACAGGCCTAGGTCTCCAGAATTGTTCAGGAGGCAAGATATCATGGTGGAGCAGCTGATCATCAACTGTATCAGAACCTGCCCGTTCAGGCGGAGCCCGTGGACTATCACTTTCTCGAGCTTCTTCTGAGCCTATCTCACAAACTGTATGGGATTCTAAGACAGGCCTAGGTCTCCAGAATTGTTCAGGAGGCAAGATATCATGGTGGAGCAGCTGATCATCAACTGTATCAGAACCTGCCCGTTCAGGCGGAGCCCGTGGACTATCACTTTCTCGAGCTTCTTCTGGTATTCCTTGATCTCCTCAACCTCAGTTTCTGCCCATTCTATCACCTGTGATTTCGTCTGCGATAGGCTCCTTACTCTAGCTCGTTTACTAGAGCGGCAGAGAAGTTCATCGTTAAGAACGGAAACTCTCTCTCGGTTTTTCCCTTTGAAGAGAGTATAGGTCTTCATAGGTCTTCATAGGTCTTCTTTGCTCTCCTCCATCAGCTTGCGGTTCAGGAGCAAAGTTAACATGGTCATCAGGGTCATCATTGTCAGGTACACTACCTGCTGGAACAGTAGGCAATGGCCGTGGTGATGGTATTCCTCCCTCATGTGTCATTAGATATTCTTCCTCCGCGAGAGGAAACTCATTCTCTGGCAAGATATCATGGTGTAGCAGTAAATCATCCACTGTATCAGAACCTGCCGGTATAGGGGGAGCCCGTGGACCATCACTTTCTGGAACTTCTTCTGATATACCATGATCTCTGTCAACCGTAGTTTCTGACGATTCATTACCTGTGATTTCGTCTGTGATAGACGGCTTCGGCTTCTTTCTTTTCCGTTTCTTCACCTGATTGCCAGATTCTTTGTAGTTGATCCTACGTCTTCTTCGTGTGGATCTTCTTAGGGGTGGATCTGGTACAGAAGAGGAGGGAGAGTATGACGATTCTCCATTGTTTATACGATCTGAGGGTCTCTCGTCCACTCGAGATATTCCAAGAAGGAGACAGTCTCTAGACTTGAGACGGTGCTCTTGGTGAATTCTTTCCCATACTGTTTCGACCAGAAGAGAAGACAACAGTCTCAATTCTTTTGATTGTTCCCGAGTCATCTCTACAATTTCATCACAGATTTTTGAAATATCCATAACTGGTATGGTGTCGTCGAGATCCACCACTTCCATCTGTGTGATTGATCCATACAATGCAAGGAACCTAAAGAAGAAATCAGATTAAAAAAAAATCAAATCCAGGAAAATCACGATTCTGTTTTTTGAAACAGGGAGTTGATAATTTGAATTTAAGAACACTAAATAAAAGCAACGGTGAAGATTCGAAGATTCAAGCAGATTTAAGAAGCTGATGAACAAAAAAAATCAAACGATTCCACTACAAATCCACCAGTAAAATCACGATTCTGTTTTTTTTTTAAACAGATATTTGAGAATTTAAATGAGGTTTGAGAATTTAGTACCATATTAGTCTCACTAAGCGTCTATGCCCTTTGATTTTTCGTGGTAGTGTCGTTGATTCATCCGCCATTGTTTCTTATGATTACAGAGAACAGAGAATTGGAGAAGCGAGGATGAAGACGATCAATACATCGCATAAAGCAGTGGGGCCCACTTGTATGAGTCTCCTCTCGTCTCTCGTCTCGCTTAGTGTGGGCTCCACTGTAACAAACTTTTTCGCGAATAGAAAAATGAATAATTTAATATATGCATGTTTAATTTCTAGGGACATTAAAAAAATATATACTTAGTATAGGTTTGTGCTCCTAAATTTTGAAGAATTATACTGTAGATTAGTATTACTCCTAATTTGCTTTCAATAATTAAAAATAAAAAAAATTCATTTAATTAATAATAATTTACTTTTTGTATTGATTAACAAAATTTCTAGTTTACTATATTATGATTTGTATATATGAGGATATATAAGCAAAATTTAAAATCTATGAAAGTAAATAAGAAAAATAATTTTTTTGGATTACCAGTAAAAATTAAATTAATAATCTCAAAATGAAACTACAAAATAATTCTAATAATTATTTATTTATCTGTATATATACAAAATTTAAAATCTATGAAAATAATTAAGAAAAAGAATTGTTTTTGGATTACCAGTAAAAATTAAATTAATAATCTCAAAATGAAACTACAAAATAATTCTAATAATTATTTATTTATCTTGATTATCACAATTCCTAAATTCTTCTAGCTATGTCAAAATATATATACAATTAAGATTTTGTAGTATATTTTTCAAAAAAAAACAATTCTTTTAAAATTAGAAATAAATTAAAAAATATATATATAATAAAATATTTTTTATGAAAGTTTAATAAGAAACAATAATTTGGTATCAGTTTTATACTAAATATTTATTTTTTATATGTTCTATAAAAATATATAATAATTTTTTTGTTGATATATACATAATTTGGAATTTGTAGTGTATTTTTATTATTAAAGTTTATTTGAAAGTGAAAAGTAAATTAAAAACGAAAACTTTATGATGAAAGTATATTCTACGAAATTTTATTAAGAAACAAAAATTTGATATTAATTTTTAGTTAAACATTTTTTCTATATGTTTTATTAAGAAGCAAAGCTCTTTCCAGACTTAAAAAGTTGAAACGGAAGTTAGTCACTCCTAATGGCTAATGGCAACGATAAGGATAGACAATTACAGTTTGGTGTCTCGTAACCTTTCTATTTGGGATTTAATTTTGTGAAACTGATAAATCTTAATTATTTAATTAAAATATTTTAATGTTTTTTGAAAAAATAAATATTAAGAATTTTTATTATGGTGTTTTTGAATCTTCTGTATTTTTATTCTTAAAATTTATATTTTTCAAATATTTTAATTAATTAAGGTTAATTTACTCAAAATATGAAAAAATATTAGAAGGTATAACTTCACATTTCATTATAAAAATGTCATTTTTTCAATTTCCCTTGAAAACTATGGTGAACAGCTGATTTATATTTTTTAAAAAGACATGTTTATATTAATTAACAAGTTGTGACAAAAAAAAGACATGTTTAAAAAAAAAACAAGGACAGACAGTTAGAGTTTGGTGTCACATATCTTTTCTATTTGGGGATTTAGTTTTGTGAAATTAAAATCATAGAATTGTTTATTGTTTTTTGTCACAAAACATTTAATTTGTGACATATCCATTAAGTCATAAAATCTATGGTCAACAGTTGTTTTATATCAAAGATGGCATAATTTTTTTTAAAGTCATCCAAAAGAAAAATAATTCTAAATGAAAACACCAATTTAGGGAAAAATAACAATTGTCGCATACTTGGAACTCAAAAGAGTATGGCAGGATATGTTTAATTTGTGACCTTATAACGAAAATATAAAATAAGAAAAAAATATTTAATTAAAACTTTTCTTTTCCGAACCTGAAAAGAGGAAAAAACAATAAAATTAAAAAAAAAACAATACCGACGAAAACATAAATATCTCTGTTATAAATAACCAGAGTTCATCAGAGCCACTATCTATCTTTCATTTTTTTGTTCTTTTTCATCTCAAATTTTGTCTTCTCCTTCGCAAAACACCAATGGGTTATTGGCGAAAATAGTTTAAGAGAAAAAGTACCGAAATTTCAGCGTTATTAAGGATTCAGCAACAGATAAAATCTGGATTTTTTTTGTTTCTCTCTCTCCCTGTCTCTCTCTCTCTCCCTGTCTCTCTCTCTCCTTGTCTCTCTTTTGACTTTTCGTATCTTCAACTTTTGAGGTACATTACTCTCTGTTTGTTCTCTCTCTTGTCAATAATAATTTGTTGAATTATCGTAGTTCCTGGATTTAAAGCTGGTAAAAAAGTTGTAATTTTAATTTTCTCATCTGCTTGGCAGAAAATACGAGGGAATTTTAAAACTATTTTGTTTAATTGAATTCTTTTATTTTGCTTTTTTTCTTTCTTTCTATATTATCATTTTTTCATGAATGCTGAGAAAACACTGGAAAATACCCCCAAAAATTTAAGAAAATAAAAACTACGATTTTTTCGTTTTTTTCCTTCTCCAAAAAGTGTCATTATCACGTGTATCGGATGTTGGATATTTGTAATAATCAAAGTCGTTTATTCAATTTAAAACCTTTAGCTTTATTTCTCTCAATTTCCTCAAGTCCTCTTGTCTTTCTCAGAAACCAAATTGGCCAAACATAATGATAAGAACGAGGAGGAGAAGAATTACACACAAATACGATTCACCACAAACACTTATATAATCAATCTCCTCAATATAGTAATATATTAATTTTTTCTTTATTTTGGTTTATTTTCTTTGATTGAAAATTGACTCTTTAGTCTGGTTGACCGTTGACCGGTGACCGGTCAGCAATCAAGTTGATAACTTTTGATTGACATTATAAATCTACGAAATACATTGATAAATTTCTAAAGAAAGAAGCTTTGTACCATATACATACCTGTACAACAAGTTTAGTCTGTATATTAAACTTGGCTAATTTTAAGTTCTCTGTCTCTCTTATTCTTGCTTTGTTATAGAAAATGGTCGCATTTGGAAAAAAGCTCAAAGAACGAAGCATTGAAGAATGGCAAGAGTATGTTTTCTATCAAGATTTGTTTGATTATTTAAGTTTATGGCAATTAATGTGATTCATGTATGTCTTTTCTCTATTCCCCTATAGATATTACATCAATTACAAATTGATGAAGAAGAAAGTGAAGCAATACGGTCCACAAATGGAAGTAGGAAGCCTGGATCGTCGCCATGTTCTTAAAGATTTCTCAAGGATGTTGGATCATCAGGTACAAAATTTTAAGGTGTTTAATCAAAACCATCAAACTTAATATATAAACACACGTTTCTGCTTGCAGATCGAGAAAATCGCTCTGTTCATGTTGGAGCAACAAGGTTTGCTTTCAAGTAGGTTACAGAAACTAAGGGAACGTCATGATGCACTTCAAGATGAGCCTGACATATCTCAGATATCTAATCTAAGAGAGGCTTATAGATCCGTGGGACAAGATCTTCTCAAGCTTCTGTTTTTCATCGATATGAATGCTATTGGTATCCGCAAGATACTCAAGAAATTTGATAAAAGATTCGGTTATAGATTCACAAACTATTATGTCAAGACTCGCGCTGATCATCCTTACTCTCAGCTTCAGCAAGTGTTTAGACATGTGGTAAGGTTTTTAAAATCTCACGCAGCCTAATCTCTCACTATAGTTGAAGCTTAATGTTTTGTTTATTTCGAATTTTTTTTGATAGGGTCTTGGAGCTGTTGTTGGAGCCATATCTCGAAACCTTCATGAGCTTCAAAACAATCAAGGAAGCTACTTATCTATTTACGATCAGCCTGTTCTTCCTCTTCAGGTTTGTTTTCTTGTAACATATTAATAGAAACCTAATATATTGTATAGTTCTCTATAAAAGAAAGAATGAATAGGATCATGGGTACAAAACATTACATGTAAATGGTATAATTTGTAAGGAATGAAAAGGAATTGTCACCCATTTAGAGATATGTGAAACCTAAAAATTGTTTGGTTTCAACAGTCTTTTTGTGTTTAATTTTCAGGATCCTGTGGTGGATTCAATTAAGAATGCAGTGGACAGGCTAACACATTCGACGAACTTCCTTAATTTCATGGCTCAGCATGCTTTAATCATACAAGACGAAGAAGACCTACTGATTACTCCAGGCGAGCAAGCGGATCAAGAAGAAGGGAGATATCACTTCATGTCTCTCTTGTTAAACTTGGCCAACACGTTTCTCTATATGGTCAACACGTATATCATTGTCCCTACAGCAGATGATTACTCCATGAGCCTTGGAGCAGCAGCAACTGTTTGTGGTGTTGTGATTGGTGCTATGGCTGTTGCTCAGCTCTTCTCTTCGGTTTACTTCAGCGCCTGGTCCAACAAATCTTACTTCAAACCGCTTATATTCAGTAGCATTGTTCTTTTCTTTGGGAACCTCTTATATGCTTTAGCTTATGACTCCAATTCATTAGCTCTTATCTTGATTGGCCGGCTTTTCTGTGGGTATGTCTGGTTTAGTTATACATTTAGTTTTCGTGAGACATTGGTTTGATTTAACATGTTTATCCGGTTTTGTAGATTTGGTTCGGCTAGAGCAGTGAACCGGAGATATATAAGCGATTGTGTTCCGTTGAAAATCCGAATGCAAGCTTCAGCTGGTTTTGTTAGCGCAAGTGCTTTAGGAATGGCGTGTGGTCCTGCTCTTGCCGGTTTATTGCAAACCAATTTCAAGATCTACAATGTTACCTTTAACCAAGATACATTACCCGGTTGGGTTATGGCTATTGCTTGGCTTGTGTACTTGGTCTGGTTAGCTATTTCGTTTCGTGAACCGGCACGTGAACCTGAAGAGATTCATACTTCACACTCTGGTACGTAAATAAAGAGAAATAGGTCAGTTTTTATTTTTTTCGATATTATTATCTGATCAGAGCAAATCTTTAATTTTTTTGGTGAAGCTGATCAAAATGGAAAAATGGAGAAAGGTCTTCAAAAGCCGCTTTTACTTGCATCAGAAGTAACAGAACATGATGATGAAGATGACTGCGATGGAAGCGAAGAATCTGCTGAGGATTCTCGTAAACCCGCAAACTCCATTGTAGATGCTTACAAACTACTCACTCCTTCAGTGAAGGTTAAAAAAGTCAACTCACTTGAATCACTTCTCAAAAAGTCAACTTACTTAACCTTAAAATCATGCTTTTGTATTTTTAGGTTCAATTGTTGATATACTTCATGCTTAAGTACGCAATGGAGATTCTTCTATCAGAATCAAGTGTGGTTACCACATACTACTTCGGTTGGTCCATGAGTTCGGTTTCCATCTTCTTGTTCTGTCTCGGTCTAACTGTTTTACCGGTTAACCTCGTTGTTGGAAGCTACATCAGCAATATGTTCCAAGATCGGTAAAGATTCTTGTATTTTGTTGTTTTTTTCTTTTTCTCCTTGCATGTTACTTACAAATGTGGATTTGTTATTTACAGGCAAATTCTGTTGGCATCAGAGATTATGGTCTGCATTGGAATACTTCTGAGCTTCCATGTAGTAATCCCTTACACTGTGCCACAATACGTTTTCTCCGGATTTATCATGTTTGTTTCTGCTGAAGTTCTTGAAGGTAAAAGATTTGAGACTTAATTCTCGTTTTGAAGATAATAATTCTTTAAAGAACTTATTACAAAACTTGTTTTTCTTGTTGGCTTTTGTCGTAGGTGTGAACTTATCGTTACTATCGAGAGTGATGTCGTCGAGGCTGTCACGTGGGACATACAACGGAGGGTTACTGTCGACGGAGGCTGGGACGATCGCACGTGTGATAGCTGATGCGACGATCACTCTTGCTGGTTTCTTGGGACAGAGTATGCTTTTGAATGTTACTCTGCTTCCTTCTTTGGTCATCTGTGTTGGGTCTATTGTTGCTACTTGTTTTACTTATAACTCCCTGTATTAATGCTTCTTTCATAGTTCTACCCATAGAAATCCAGCCTTTACAATTAAACCCACTCCTAAAGTCCTGAGGGTTTTTCTGATCGTTTCTCTTTTCTTTTTTGGCTTTTACTTTCATCTCTTAGTAAAACTTTTTCTGTTTACTTTTGTTCATTTTAGATCCATTAATGAAAAATATTTTTGGTGTTCATGGTTGTACTACTTCTTTTTATGTATGTTTATAGATGTAAATTAACAAATTTGAATTTAACAAACAAAATAATAAAAAAAATGGTTCGGTCTTCTGATATTAAACCTTAAAAATATATATAGACCCCAAAAACAATAATTATTTTTAAGGTTTATTCTAGCCTCTTAATAATTACTAAATTTAACGAACTTAGTTAATAACATAAACATACAAGCTTGACAAAGAGCAAATCAATAGAGTAAATAATTAAAAACAGAGCATACAACCTTTTGTCCCTAGATCAAAGTAACAACCAAACTTATAAAAAAGGTTTAAAATGATGAAAAAGTAACAGAAGAGTAGTGAGTGGAGAGAGAGACCATCTTTCAGGTGATTTATGATTTTTTTGCTTCCCCTTTTCAAGAATCAGTGTCCATTGGCTATGGAACCATCGTCACCTTTCTTGCCATAGAACCTCCGGTACAAGGAATCAACCTCTTTCAGATAATAAGTTCCCGGAGATAAAAGGTCTAAAATACCCTCCTTGCTCGTCACAAAGTCCTTTGCTCCGTACCTATGTTCCATTAGCTTCATTGTCTCCACAAATTTTTCTGGTTCATACTGCAATAAAGTAGATCAATGATTCAAGGTTCCGGATGTTACAATCCCGGTTTAACCAATCCAATCCAAACCGAAAAGGTAATATTAATTTTTGTTTGTTTGTTACCTCATGTCTAGCCTTCAGTTTCCCGCCAACATCCATTACAGAAGCGATGCTTGAAAGGCTGAAAGGAGACTGGTTTTCGCAGAGACGCAACGAGAACATTGTTGCGGTTGAGCCACTTCCGTATGAGAACATAACCACTCGCTTTCCCGCCTACACAACAAGTCCCAAACACACAAATGCAACAAAACTTCAAACCCAAAATGCAAAAGATTCTCAATAAAGTTCAAGAAGAAGAGAAGTTTGTGTCCTAATGTTTTACCAAATCGCTGTGTTTATTGTGGATGAGGGAAGCAAATGCAGCGTAGAGAGAAGCTGTGTACATGTTTCCGACTTCTTTTGGTACTAAAGTCGTTGGCTGCACTTTAGCATCATAAAACGGTTTCGCGACTTGTTGAGACACCTGCAAGAGAGACAGAGAATTAAAGCTATAACACAATTTTCGCTTGGTTTCAAAAGCAAAAAAAGAGAAATGATAAGAACCTTTTCAAGATCACGGCTTTGGTAACTTTCGTCGAGTGACAGAGATGAAAAAGGGGTGAACTTTTCTTTGGAAGCTTCGTCAATGGAGCTGCAGCACAGGTAAGAATATGTTACTTATAAAAACCGTTAAGAGCTTTTAAACTCGAAGACACAGTTAATAAGCAAGAACCTTGCGTTTCTCAAGAAGTCGTTGTACAAGAGACGAGCGAAGCTTTTCTGCACAAGCTGCAATAGCAAAGAATAGCGAAAACTCGTAAGAGACGGTTTCAAGGTTGAACAAAACTATGTTCTTTGAGGATTAAGAAAATTACTTTGTTGTATGGAGAATGGAAAACAAAGTAGTCAGCATCATTGATGGAGAACTCTTTGCCCTCGAGTTTCTCAAACCTAGTAAAAACCAAAATGAGTCACACAGAACACTAGAAGAAAGAAACTGAGTTTTTTTTAAACAGTAACAAAAAAGCAAATTACATACTTGTTGCATAAATGTTTATAGCAAGAGTCAAGTGCCATAAGGTAGCATGTCTGTGAAAGCTTACCATCAACAACCTAACAAGAAACACAAGAAAACGATAAACAAACAAGAATTTGATTCTCTGTACCAAAAACTTTTAACATTACGCATTGAAAATTCCATTACCGGGTACTCGCTAGCAAGATTCGGCTTGTAAAAGTCATAGACATGAGCCATGTGGCTTCCTCTCAATTTGCTTTCGAAGACGATAGGAGCATTTGGTCCTATCAACATAGCAATAGCCGCCGCTCCTCCAGTGGGTCTCGCGGGTCCTTCTGCATAAACCTGAAAGGCATTCAAATAGATAAAGTAAGATTCATGCAAAGACTCTTTAGGCATTAAAAAAAACAAAAACTCTATTGTCTCATGTTATTACCGCACTGTCAGTACAAATGACGAGGCCATAACGTCCATCCCAAGAGTTACTCTCAACCCAATTCACACAGTTCAACAAAGCAGCGGTTCCACCATAGCAAGCATTGGTCGAGTCAACACCTTCAACATCAGTGTTTCCACATTTCTGTTCCATTCACAAAAGAAATTTGAGCGATCCTCAGATTTTTTTCAACCGCAATTGAAGTCCAAGAAAAGTGTAAATACCTCAAAGAGTTGCATCAAGAACGTTTTGATAGACTTGCTTTTGTCTATAACAGTCTCACTTCCTACTTCAAGCCGCCCAATTTGCTTCGGGTCAATCTTGTACTTCTCAAGAAGTGATGTCACCGCATTAAAACTAAGAAACACATCCCAAGAAACAGATCAGCTATAAAAAATTCAGTCTTTCCATGAGAATATACATATATGTGCAACAAAAAAAACCCATTACCTCATTGAGATTACATCTTCAAGCTCTGTGCAAAAAGCTAAACAATCTTGGCCAAGTCCAATTGTGTATTTGCCTTTGCTTGCTCCATCATGAGCTTCCAAAGCTTCCTATGTCAGCCAAAATAACACATTGATCAAATCATAAAAACCATAGTATCAAAGTTCAAAACCTGAAATGAAGAACTCAAAAAAAAAAAGATGAAAAAGAGAGGTTTAAGAGAATGTTGTAGATCACTTTTTGTATTAGCTGACAATGTTCTCTAAAGACAAAAGTTGAGTAAGAACCACAAAGCTGTAAACTTTTTTTCCCAATTGAGACTTAATGAGAAATCTCAGGACCTATAAAAACCATCTTATCATATCAGTCTCAATTATCATCAACAAATCTAAGACCTAGACACAGAGATCTCAGAGTTCGAGAAATTTAATCAGAATCCAGATTAATATTATTATAATGAAATAAAAAAAAAAGAACAAATTTTTAGCATTTTCTGACTACATCGTATACCGAACTCCGCCGCATTACAAAACCCAGAGACAAAGAAGAAGCATAAATCTCTATGAAAAATTTATGAGAGTTTCCATGGATGGATTTCTCCAGAATCTTTCTAACGATTTTCAAATCATGTTCGGAAATTTTCATCAAAGTTTGAAGATTTATGAAATCAAACGTCAAAGGGCGAATTTCACTGTGTCGAGAACACATACACACAAACAAAAAGCTCCAAGAGAAACAGAGTATCAATGCAATAGCTCCAATAAATAGATGGAATCGGCGAAAATGAAAAAAAAGTTGAGATTTTTAACCTGTTGAACACAGGTCGGAGGGAAATAGATGTCCATAGCCAAAATCCCAACGTTCTTCGCCATTGTCGAGTGAAAACGAAAGAGCTTCTTCTCCAGAGAATGAAATCGAAGTTTCGATCTTTGAGAAGAGGAGAGAGAGAGAGTTTTTGAAGCTGTATAGGAAAGATATGAATCGGTTGAAAACAGAAAAGAAACTCCATTTGTTTAATAAACAAGTCCATTAGAAAAATTAGGGGATTTTCTTTAAATTTTCCCTAAATAATAAAAGATTAGTTGTGCTTTTTTTTTGAGTCAACAAAATACTTGTATAGTTGTATACTTCCATTTTTTTTTGGTTCAAAAATTCAAAAATGTTGGTTTTATAATTTATTCAGAGAACTTTTTAGTTGAAAAGTAAAACTAATAATATACTGTAGTATTTTTTGGGGGCATTGGTTTTACATGTCAAATAGAAAAAAAATATGTTTCTGAAAAGTAATTAATTACCTGGAAAAGAAGAAAAAAGAGTGTTTGAATGTGTGCGTGAGAGGAGAGAGATTGGGGCAGGGTGTTTCCTCCGGAATCTGGACAACGCAGACTTCGTGAGTTAGCTCGCTCGTGCTTATCTTTCTTCCATCTTTACCCCTTTAAGTCTTTCTTATTTACCACTTTGCCACTCACTAATTTTGGTTTTGATTTTGGTTTTGGATATGATAATAAGAGTAGCTTTGGCAATATATAAACTCGGCTTATACTACTTTGGTTATGTAACTTGGACTTAGGTTCAATTCAATCTACTTGGAACTTGAATAAGCTAAATGGAAAATATATCTTTTTGCATATAATTTGCTACCAAAAGAAAATGATACTAGTCTTTAAGAGATATAGTAAAATGTGCTAAGTAAAAAAATATTAAGCTTTTCATAGTTGGAAACAAAAAATTGTTTTTTTTCAAAAAAATACTATTAGTCTTTCATTTGATTTTTAAAAACAAATATTCGACCCCTTATTTAATCATTGAGACATGGGATATCTCATCTTGTCCTCTCGAAAAACCATTTTAGTTTTGTTACTGATGGATCTTAATTTGTTGGTGGTTCAATAGCAAAACTAGTGTCGATACATTGTTAGAGCATCTCTAACGCCGTATATTCGAAAATTTTATGCAAAAAGAATTCGTTTAACATTGTTGGTATATTAAATCTGAACCAACTCACCAGCATGAAATAGTCATGAATCATACATTAACTCACACTTAACTAATTTTGTTTTTTTATATCATTATTAAGACTTTGAGTCGTTGACCGGAATTTAAACCGCTTCACCCGCGAGGAGCTAGCCTAAATTAAGTGGTTAACAACTTGGAAAATTCAGGTTAGCGTAAGAAAACAAAGAGAAAAAAAGTTATTAACAACAAGATACACAACAAAAGATTAAATATTTGTTCCACTTGTTTCAAAAAAAATTCCTCTTATGCTTTCAAATTAACTTTCAATAAGGAAATATTATTTTCCCCAAATTTTAATTAATTAAATTTAAATCGTATACAGTTTGTTTGGAGTATCCGAGTATAATAATTTAGCTTTCTTTTTTATTCTTTTGAAAAATATCAAAACAAAATCAACACAACAATAACCCATAAGTCTCTCCATGGCTTGACACATCAGCATTTTCAAGCTTTTAGGAGATGACACGTCATTGTTGTATAGGTTCTTGGTGCTTGCACTGTCCATCTTTGCTGTAACCTCAAAACCCTCTACAAACCAAAACGCCTAGCTCATATGGTCTCTGCAGCGGCAAGAGCATACACTGTGAGGGACTTCAATCACTTGTTTGTAGAGATCCAATGCATGAACCTTGGATGTGCGGCTTATTTTGTTGACATAGGTAACAAATACTATACTATATGTCAGATGTTATAGTATATGACCTTATAGAATAGTACACATAACATAGTCGTCTTTTATTGTTTTTAGGATTTGCACATTGGACACGTGTCCACTTCAAGGGAAATCGATTCAACATAATGGACTCCAACATTGCCGAATCCTGGAACGCAGTACTAAAAGAAGCAAGAGAGTTCCCGCTTATTTGTACGACTATGTGAAACATATAGTATAGTATTGTACTCATTTGAAACACTATGACCTATTAACTTGTATAGTACCTACAAGTGTGGAATCTGCCCTGGAGGATGTACCATATGATGATGATAATGTATTTATCAGTCGTGTATTCAAATCAAAGAGCGACTGCAAAATCAAGATCACCAATTATAATGACGGACTCTTTCTATATATGTATCAATTGATATGTTAAAATTTATTCTCATTTTTTACTACTAACGTCAGCAATTATTTTCACTTCATTTTAAACAAAGGGGTTTTTGGTATATATTGTAGAATATATAAGAAATATAATAACACCTACTTTCGTATGGTTATTTTCTGAATTATAGCCTTTGATATGGCTATATCAGCCAATTTTCCATAATAAATAACAGCAAATAAAAAAAATTATTTTATTTTTTTAACAAACCTAAATAATAAATAATAAAAAATAATAAAATTAAATATTTGTTTTATATTTTTGCCAAACCGAAACTCAAATAATAAATAACAGCAAAAAAAATTAAAATTTCTAACTATGTGTTTACTTGATAGAGACGTATATGAATGAAGAAAGTGTAGACTCATCATCAACTATGTTTCCATAACAACAATGCAAAAAACGTTATGTTATAAGAAGCTCACACATCAGCAAAAATTTAAACCAATAAAAACATAACAATAATACATATTATTAACACACTAATAAAATTAATTTACTATTTTGCTGACTCATTAAAAAGTCCAAAGTTTACAAAAAAAATGAAAGGCGAAAGCAAATGAGGAGAAACTCAGACCACCACAGCTTGGAGATTCGCATTTCCACTGGTTACCGAGAACAAATTTTCTTGGGTTTGGCGGAAATAGAGAATTTCTTGGTTTTGGTAGAAAAATGTGATTTTCAGTTTTGGTAGGAAAACATAGTTTCTTGGTTATGGCGGAAAAAGCGAATTCTCGGGTTTGGCGGCAAAATGTTAATTTTTGGTTTTAGTGAGAAATAAAAAATTTGATTTCGACGAGAAAATGCGAAGGAAATGCAACTTTTAAATTTTGACGAAAAATACGATTTCTCGGTTTTGATAGAAAATGCAATTTTTTGGCTTTTGATGGATAATGTAATTTCTTGATTTTTGCGGAAAATTATAATTTGACAATTTTGGCAGAAATGTAATTTCTCGGGTTGATAGAAAAGCAAAATTTCTCGATTTTGGCGGGAATAAACAATTTCTTGGTTTTGATGGAAAATGTAAATTTTTAGTTTCTGACATATAATTTGATTTTTGGTTTTCGAGGGAAAATATGATTTCTTAGTTTTCGTGGGAAACGCAATTTCTCAGGAGATAATGCAATTTTTGGTTTTTACGAAAAATTGTAGTTTATCGGTTTTGGTAGGAAGGCGTGATTCTTGATTTGACGAGAAAAATAATTTTTTCTTGTTTTGGTGGGAATAGACGATTTCTCGATTTTTGCGGGAAAATAATTTTTGGTTTTGACGGAAAAATACTATTTTTTGTTTTTGCATGAAGATGAATTTTTTTGGTTTTTGTGAAAAAAACTTGATTTCTCTGTTTTGACGGAAAAACACAGGTTCTCGCGAGAAAATGTGATTTTTTGGTTTTGTGGGAAAATACAATTTCTTTGTTTTGGTAGAAAAATGAAATTTCATGTTTGACAACAAAATGAATTTTTTTGGTTTTGGCAGATAATTCTTTGGTTACGTGGGAAATAATTTTTTTTTGTTTTGTCGGAAAATACAATTTCTCGGTTTTTGTAAAAGATAAAAAAATTTTGTGCTAAATTTTCAAGTTATAATATGTTTATAGTAACCAAAATTGAATTATTTAACTTCAACTAAATTGATATTTCAACAGTTCAAATAGAACTTTCTATTTAGTTCTAAAGTAATAGTAATAATTTTGATATGAATGTTATTGATTATAGTTTGGTAGTTTTAGAAACATATGTCTATAATAAATATTTGATAAATAAATAAATTTTATAATTTAAAATAATCATATTAATTAATATTTTTTAAAATGGCAATTTGCTTTATATAATTTCAAAAGAAGATTAAGTAGCAATTTAGTAGAGAAAATAAATTACATCTACCATTAGCTTGAAGGTACTTAAAAATGTATTGTTTTATTTTTACATATATATTTATAGATAGTTAGCTAAACAAATTTGATACTAGATTATAATTTAAAAAAATAAAAAATTAATGATATATAATGTTTATTCAGATTTAAAACATATAAATACATAACTTAAGTTAATAAAAAATAAATATAATATTTATTTAAAATATATAAATAATTTTATTATATTAAAAATATATACAAATCTAAAAAAATATTCTGCAGCGTAGCGCAGATAAATACCTAGTTTCATTCTAATTGAAAAATAACAACGATGCTTGAATGAAAGAAAATAGGGAATGATATATTTGTTTTTTATTTTGATAATTAGGTGCTTACTAGATCAGACAGAACATGGTCGGGTTCAAACAGAGTTTTTAGACTTCTCGAAGTATGCGAAACATTGTCGTTTTCATAAAGCTAACAAATCTCCCCGAGCATTGGAATCTCCGTCACCGTCCGATTTACGATCTATCTTCATCCCCCAACGGTCTGATTTTTTAACTACCAAAAATGCTGAAACATTATAAAGAATGTACTATCTACCAATTACAGATCGTCATATTAGTCGGATTCCGATGACATCACGATTTTGTGGGACCCAACTTAAGAAACACGATCGATGGAACACAAACTTGTGGTTCTACACGTGAGGAGAGGTAGGTAGGTTCGATACTGTACATCACAGTCTATAATTATTGTATGAGTACAGTACTTGATATTTATAGGTTATGGATTGAAAAAAAATAAAAATTTGATTAGTTTTGGAATACTTTTTACAAACTAAACCTAATTATAATTGATACTGTACTTTTCACTAATGGTGGTAAAGAATCGCATTTAATTTCCGAAGCAACACTTAATAATATTCTCTCCCACTCTAATTAATAAGTTGAATTAATATAATCAATTGTATCTCTTCCGGTTCTTATAAAATGTTTTAATGATTTTTTTGTTTGTTTTATGTTATTTAAATGTGATATCAGCACATTCAACAAGAACAGCATATATATAAAATGAAACAGATATAATAATTTGGTTTAAAATATTATAAACGGGAGGAATAAGAAAAAAATAATGTTGTGAAGCGCAAACCTAAATGTTACACACCACACTTATTATAAAATGGAAAAGAAAACCAAAGCGCACTCTGTGATGAACTGAAGTAATCGTAATGAATGAATTTACAGCTCGTAGATTAGAAACGCACAAATCAAACCTAAAGACACACTCAGAGAGGTTTCTTGAAGTGGAGGAAACATGTAACAAATGTTGACACTCTCTATACGAAAGGTTTCAGATGGTGAGGTTTTCTTGAAGTGCAAGGAACGAGCCTATGATCTTGCCACCGAGATCTGGGAACGTCTCACATCCAGGAAGAGAACTCACTTTACCTGTTCTATCGACTTGAACTGGATACTTAAGAAGATGACCTTGCATCTCCGTGACCTCCTCTGCTGCGTACTGTCTCCAATTCAGCTCACTCAATTGCCTCACTCGTCTCACACATTCCATGTTCTCTGGTTCCTCAAAACCTTGCTCTAGAAACCCTAGATGTTCTGCCCACAACGACATTCTATATCCAAAGATCTGCAAGTGATTGAGAATTTTCAAACAAAAAACAATGTTTAAGACACTTTTGGTGGGTTTTTGTATTTTGATATTACAGATTGAAAAGTGGAAGTCTTTACCTGACCACGAGGACGAGAACCTTTCATAGCCCATGAATGGTGAGGCTGATACCCTCCCATGGCGATCTCAGTGTCTCTAGTTCCTTCCAAGGATCTCTGGTTGATATTAGCAGAGCCGATTAAGACGAACTCATCATCCACAACCATACCTTTGGAATGAACATATATCATGAATCTCCGACTCTTCAGAACTTGCACCTGGATTAGTTTGTTGATTAAGTGAGAAAGCAAGACCATTAAAGCTCAACAAGAGATCATCCATATTTCTATATAAATACCTGCATAGCATTTGCATTTGCATTTGGCTGAGGTGGTTTCCGAGGACTATATACGCTAACTGTTCCAGCAGCATCAGAAACCTCTCTTGTTCCAAGACAGAAGAAGTTCAAAAAGTCTTGTGGCTCATACTGACCATCAATTCCAACTTCCACAAGTGCCTTGTGGATGGTTTGATACATCATTTGCATGGTTTTGTGCTGCAGAGATCATGAAATCATTTCGGTATAAAGAAGAGTTCGTCGAGATAGATAATTTAGCAAACAATGAATCAAAGTATTCACCTGCCAGTATAGAATTCTCTGAATAGGGTTACTTGTTGGAGCACCTTCTGGCCACATTGGAATGACAATATAAGCAGCAAACTTCTCTCTTGCTCTAATCTTGTTAGCAATCTTAAGAGCGATTTCCATAGGGATTAGATTATTAGCACCTGCAATGCCAAAACTTCTTGTTATTACTGCAAGCATTGATCAATGTTTTTGTACTGAACTTGCCTTTAAAAAGCTTACAACTCCTTACCCAAGTCCTTGTTTGAATCCCAGTTGAACGATGATCCAAGAAAATATTGGTTCTCAATGTAGATGAAATGCTGAGCAGACCTTATGGCCTTAACATAAGCAGCGTGTATGCTCATGTCTATGAGTATATTCTTCCCACATAGAAGATTCTGTTCACAAATTTATAATCAGTAGAGAGTAAGCAACATGGTAATGATTGAAGATGACTGTTAAAAGTTGTGCTTACACTTCCCGTAGCTTCCTTTGGATCCTTTGTCCACCCTTTGACTGAGCTTGAATCAATCGAACGGAAAACCTAAAGATTCATTCATTGAAAGAAATGAGATTCCTTTTGTCACATCTAACAATAATGCAGCATTTGTTATCATGACAATGATCATATTTTGAACAAATGAGACTTTGCTGAATCACCTGAACATGCCAAGACTCTGGATCATTCTCATTAGCAGAAGAAGCTTCTGATAGTCCCATGATGTCGGGAATCCTGTCTATCTTTAGCAAAGAATCATCAGCAGACGATCTTAGTTTCCCGATTCCGCGAGGCTTTGAAGCTTTTAGCCAACGTTCCTCAAAGTTTTTAAGCACATCGTATGCAGCTGGACCATCAATCTTGCTGTGCAGATCATGCCACGGTTCTCTTGGTCCATCATCCACAGTAGTCTAATACGAAAAAAAAAAACAGATTATTTACAGAGATCAAGAACAGTAGTAGTATCTTAATTCCAAAACTGAAACCAAACATGATTTTTCTTGAATGGTTACCAAAAAATTTGGGTTATGGAAGTCATCTTTATGGACTGTCTTTAGTGTCCTAAAGAGAGGATGCTTCGGAGTATCAAATCGTCCGTTGCAAACATCTAGCCCTCCGACAAAAGCTACGATCTTTCTTCTATTCTGAGGTGCATCAGCGTCTACAATCACTGTTTTCTGATGATGGGTGTAGATAGTTCCAACTTCCTGATCATAGTAATGACATTCAGATTTCAGATAATGAAGCTATACATGCCGGAGTTTAAGCAGTACAATAATGAGCGGCTTACAGATTTTTTAATGAAGCTGTGACCTTTCCCTCCAGATCTGGGACAAAGGAGAACTTGCACAGATGAATGCTTGAAAAACCGGCGAGTCTCTTCATCGCTTGTGTTCATGACTCCTTGCTACATGAAACGAAACACCAACAGGATTGTGGCTTCATTTAGTACTCAAACATAACAAAAATGATCTAATCAAAGCAAAATCACACTCTCCAACAGGATTAGCAAAGCAAGTATGCAACTAAAACGAGCTTCTCTGTATAACACCACCTGTGTATCTTTCCCATTTAACATTTGCATAAACAGAGAGCCTCCCTTGAAGCTACTAGCTAAAGGATAAGCATCTTATCCCATTTGGAGAAAAACAGAGCAATCTAATGTGTCTACCAGGAAAATCTATATATAACTCCATAAGCTACTATATAGTACTCATACATTGTAGAAAAGTAAAGTATAACATGTTCTCATAGTAGAAGAAACCGTTTCTATTACTATCGAAATGCCAATCTAGCTACTAGCATTTAGTACATAAGATACACAAAGTGATAATATCTGTAAATCTGAGTCTTAAGAGTTATGTAGATTCTTACTGTTTTGAACCCCAGAAGGCTCCTTGAAGTTGGATCATCCCACACCAAAACCAAAACTCTAACACCTTCCTGAGATTTGTCTTTAAGCAAATCCCCTAGTGTACCATTGGTCGGATCGTTATTAGGACGAACAAGCCTAACCGGGTGATAAACTGACCAACCAGTGATATAAACCAACCTCCTCGCCTTTCTTATCGCATCAGCCATATCCTCCCAGCACTTTCCATGTGCATACTGCATCCCATTATCAAGATAAACACTCGGAAGTGTACCGTCATCAACATGAGCATCCTGGTACAGAGTAACCCTACCGCCTTTCCTCAAAGGGAAGTACGTACCGGGAACTCCCACACACTCGTTCCCAAAACCAACACCGTTTTGGTAAAGCCTCATCCTTTCCATTGGAGTGTACTGAATAGACAAACTCAACACAGCACCCTGTTTACAAGGCTTCCCACTACTGTTGAGTATCGGAAAAAACCCTTCGATTCTATTCCCGGAACAAAGCTGCTCTGTCGGGATTCCAACAGCTCCCATGATCTGCGATCCGATGATGTCACTGTCTTTCACCACAAAGTGAACTTCCGCAGCACTATGAGCCACGGGTACATCGAAATGCTGCATCCACACAGGGTTCTCGCTGTTGTTGATCACGTAAGTCCTGCCGATCACAGCACCAGAGATAGAGACGGTCACGTAAGGATCACTCGTTATCTTGGACGATTTCTCGCCTTCCGCTTTGGGACTGTTCTTCCGGCTAAAGCTAGACAACATCCCACCGAGTCTGTTGTGGAACCCGTCCATGTTAGGAAGATGCTTAGCTTCCTTAACCCAAATGTCTAAGTTGCCATGTAACAACTCAACCCTCAAGGATCCGCTGCTCGTAGCAAACGGCACGAATTGCTGGCCAAGCCCGTGGCTTGACCCACCTCCCATCGACATCGTCTCGGTATAAACCGGATGATGCGCCATAAGAGAAAACAAGAAATTAAAAACAAAAGAAGGAAACTTTCAGTGGTGTGATCAAATCTTAAGCAAAACCCAGAAGTCAGAACCCAGATCAAATCTCAAGACGGGAACTTTCGTTCACTGGGACCAAAGATCGAACACTTGGCGGGCAATCAAGAACAAGAACTCTGAGACTTGGGGTTTTATGAATAAGGGAGATCTAAAATGTGGTGAATTCAGATGAAATGTCTGATTCTCTTGAGACGACGAAGGGAACGTTGACTTGTAACGGAAGTATCGGAAAGATTTGGCTGCCGTTGTTGACCCGTTCCAACATTAGCCATTAATGATTTAATGACTACTTACACTAATTTATATTCTTAATTAAAAAAAAAATCTTTTCTTTTAGTGACGACGAAGAAGACTTCCACTTTGGTTCGGCTGCTCACGAAACTCTTTTCTCTTTGATGATGGAACTTGATTTTGATTGGGAAATATTATTATTTATATATATGAACAAAAGTAAACATTCGACACCATCATTAATCAAAATCATATAGGAGTGTAATTAATTAAAAAAATGTTAGACACTTTTTCTTTAATGGAAAATACATTTTCATTGTTGAAAACTTCGTTAACTATAGTCTATATGAATTGTCATTTTCAACAGCTCTATAGATGATATAGTGAATTCAAATTATGTCTCGGTCCTAGCACATCATTGTCGTCTTACCAACAAAAAAAAAAGAAGTTATAAAGAATTACAAAAGTAGTCTAAATCAAGCACACGTAATTTGAATAGAGGCTTGGGAAATAGTATCAAATAATCTTATCGTATATATTTTCTTAATTTCGACTAATAATCTTATTCTAATTACTCGTAGTAATAAGCTATTAAGTAAAACAACTAAAGTTCTGGGACGGCATTAAAAGAGCGATCAATACATTCAAAACCAAAATTGGAGATTAGTCAAACACTGTTTGCTGTGATTGGCAATTGGACTTTAAAAGCTGTAGAAACTTACAAAAATATTACATTCTTTAAAATTATGTTTTATCCATCTAAGACATTAAATTATGTTTCAGATCTTCCTCAACTCCCAAAATTTGTTACAACTCTCAAGTCACACGAAAAAAAACCTGGTCTACTAGACTCCTACAAATTTTGGGAGTTGAGGAAGATCTGAAACATTCTTTAAAATTATGTTTTATCCAGCTACACTTTAAAATTATGTTTTATCCAGCTACACTTTAATGTCTTAACGACTCCTTTGTTCATCATCAGTCACTCAGCAAACAGAGTAGCAAAGAGACGATGGGTTACTGCTTCATGCGCAAGGAACCGTCTCGAAGGTTAGGGTTTTGACTTTATAGGAAAATTTTAACATTCACGAGTAATAGACGAAGTTCATGGTAACCCAAAACAATATATTCTAATCTTTAATCCAAGAATTGATCACAAAGAAAAAATTAACTATTATTTGACTTTTTTCTTCAGGTTTTAAATTTCCAAAAAAGAAAATAATTAAATCAGCCTATTTACTTGAGAAATTTCTTGAAATAACATGGTAAATATGAGAATTACCCTAATTATTTTGGTAATAGAAATTTTATTAATGACTAAATCAATGGAACACACACACGAGTTGAGAGATGAGAAGAGAATAATATAAAGAGAGAAAAAGATGAAGATGCAAACAATCTCTTTCTCTGCTTAATTCGCTTTCTCTTTCTATCAGTATCAATATGGGAGGCTTAAAACGTAAAATAAAGATTGAGAAGGTCGAGAATAAAACAGTAAATTATTTTACTAAACGACGTGACGGTCTCTTTCGCAAAGCTTCTGAGCTCTGTCTTCTCTCTCCCACGACTCAAATCGCAATCTTACTGACTCCTGTTTCTTCCAATTCTCACGCTTCTTTTTACTCTTTTGGTCATTCTTCTGTGGACCACGTTGTCTCCTCTTTGCTTAACGATCAGTCACCTCTTTTGACAAACCAAGATAACAACTCTGGCTTAGGGTTTTGGTGGGAAGATGAAAGTTTTGACAGATCAGAGAACATAGACGAGTTGAAGGATGCGACTAAAGTGATCACGAGGATGCTGAACAATCTGAGGCTCCGATCAGATGCCGTGAAGGGTAAGCAAATAGATGTAGGTTTAGGGATTCATAGCGAGGAAGATATTCTTCAGCTTTGTAACACAGAGACGAACAACATCGAAGAGACGACGAATCAAATTCCCAAATTCGCAGCTGCTTATGGTTCTGAAAATTTTGGTGGTGATTGATCCATTTTGATTGTATGAGAGTTCTTTTATGCATCATGTCCCGTTTAAGTTTTAATATTTATTCTAGAAGTGTATTTCGTTATTTATTTATTTCTGTAGGTATTTTGGGTTCAAAATAATGAGACCAAACTAAAACCAATTTTTTTTACGGTCCGGGATCAACAAGCTTGAAAGTAAATCCACTTTTTAAAGAAATTAGCGTCGACTATGAAGTGTTTGAAATACACATACATTCAGATCACTCTAAGAGAGGTTTCTTGAAGAGAAAGTAACAAAGAAGAAATGTTGACACTACAAAGTAAGTTTCAGATGGTAATGTTTTCTTTGAGCGGAAGGAAAGTGCTTATGATCTTGGTAATGTTTTCTTTGAGCGGAAAGAACGTGCCTATGATCTTGCCACCGAGATCTGGGAATGTCTCGCATCCAGGAAGAGAACTCACTTTGCCTGTTCCATCGACTTGAACTGGATACTTAAGAAGATGACCTGTCATCTCTGTGACTTCCTCTGCTGCGTACTGTCTCCAATTCATCTCACTCAACTGTCTAACTCTTCTCACGCATTCCATGTTCTCTGGTTCCTCGAAACCTTGCTCTAGAAACCCTAGATGTTCTGCCCACAATGACATTCTATATCCAAAGATCTGCAAGAATTTTGCAACAAAAAAAACCATGTTTTTAGGGCATAGCTTTTGGTGGGTTTCTGTATTTTGATAATGCAGATTGAAAAGTGGAAGTCTTTACCTGACCACGAGGACGAGAACCTTTCTTAGCCCATGAATGGTGAGGCTGATACCCTCCCATGGCGATCTCAGTGTCTCTAGTTCCTTCCAAGGATCTCTGGTTGATATTTGCAGAACCAATCAGGACAAACTCATCATCCACAACCATCCCTTTGGAATGAACATATATCATGAATCTCCGACTCTTCAGAACTTGCACCTGGATTCTTTGTTGATTAAGTAAGAAGGCAAGGCCATGAAAGCGAGACTAAAGTTTTCAACATGATTCATTTGTAAATATATAAATATACCAGTGTAGCATTTGCAGTTTTCTTAGGTGGATTCAAAGGGCTATATAAGCTAACTGTTCCATTAGCATCAGCAACCTCCCTGGTTCCAAGACAGAAGAAGTTTAAAAAGTCTTGTGGCTCATGCTGACCATCAAGTCCAACTTCCACAAGTGTCTCGTAGATAGTTCGATACATCATTTGCATGGTTTCATACTGCAAAGATCATGAAAGGGTTCAAGTATAAAGAAGGCAAGATTGTTGCTCAAGGTAGATAATTAGCAAACATGGACAAACTATTTACCTGATAGTATAGAATTCTCTGCATAGGCTTACTTTTTGGATCACCTTCTGGCCACATTGGAATGACAATATAAGCAGCAAACTTCTCTTTTGCTCTAATCTTATTAGCAATCTTAAGCGCGATTTCCATAGGGATTAGATTGTTAGCACCTGCAAATGCCAAAACACCCTTGTTTTAGCTAGATTGATCAATTTTTTTTGTACTGAACTTGCCTTTAAGAAGCTCACAACTCCTCACCCAAGTCCTTGTTTGAATCCCAGTTGAATGATGATCCAAGAAAATATTGGTTTTCAATGTAGATGAAATGCTGAGCAGATCTTATGGCCTTAACATAGGCCGTGTGTAAGCTCATGTCTATGAACATATTCTTCCCACATACAAGATTCTGTAAACATATTTACAATGAGCAACATGAAAATGATTGAAGATGACAAGTTTAAACTAATTACTCTTCCAGTAGCTTCTTTTGGGTTCTCTGGAAATCCTTTGACTGAGCTTGAATCAATTGAACGGAAAACCTAAAGATTAATTCATGGGAAAGGAATGAGATTTCTTTTTTCACACCACCACGTGCAGCAATATTTGAAAGAATGTGACATGTTGAATCAACCTGAACATGCCAAGACTCTGGATCATTCTCATTAGCATCAGAACATGCTTCAGACATTCCCATGATTTCGGAAATTTTGTCTCTATTTAGCAAAGAATCATCATAAGAAGATCTGTGTTTCCAAATCCTGCGAGGTTTTGAAGCCTTGAGCCAGCGTTCCTCGAAATTAGTAAGCACATCATATGCAGCTGGACCATCAATCTTGCTGTGCATATCATGCCATGGTTGTCTTGGTCCCTCATTTGCAGTAGTCTAGTACCAATAAAAGATAAATAATAGTTGATCTATCTTATAACATTGTAGACCAAACATGATTTTTCTTGAATGGTTACCTCAACATTTGCGTTATGGAAGTCATCCTTATGGAGTGTCTTTAGTGTCCTAAATAGATGATGCTTTGGAGTATCAAATCGTCCCTTGCACATATCTAGCCCTCCAACAAACGCTATGATCTTCCTTCGATTATTAGCTGCATAAGCATCTACAATTACTGTTTTCTGATGATGGGTGTAGATTGTTTCAACTTCCTGATCATGATAGTGACATTCATTCAAACTTCAGAAGATGAAGGTATATATTACATATGTGAGTACTTAAACAGAGTAATGCAGTAACTTACAGATTTTTTTACGAGGCCGTGACCTTTGCCACTAGATCTAGGGCACATAAGAACTTGCACCGACGAGTGCTTGAAGAAATGGCGAGTCTCCTCATCGTTTGTTTTCATCAGTCCATGCTGCATACGAGCAACATCAGTTTCGTTAAAACAACAGAAGGATTAATGTTGCTTCATTTATAGAGGGTGGAATGGAAGCAGAGAGGAAAGACCATGAATGTTTGTGGTTTCTAAAATGGTTTTTAATTTGTTTTATGGGACGTTTTGGTTTTTCCTAAAACTTTATTGGTGATTTATTTAGGTTTAAATAATTTCAAGAGTTGCATTGGTGTCTAAAAGTAGCAATATTAGAAATATAACAAAATGAATAAGAAAAACAACCATCCGCAATTATTGGAAAAAATCAATAAAACATAAATTTTGGTTTTCTTTCGAACTGTATAATTTTTTGAAAAAAAATCGTTTTCCTTAAGTTTTAAACAATCTATTTTTCAAAAATCTTGTTTTAGTAAAAAAGTGATTTTTTATAGAGAAAAAAAACGGTAAACTATATGAAAAACTTTATAAGTTCCCTTGAATTAGCTAAAAGATAAGCTTCAGATCCAAATAAAGTGACAACATGTTATGTTTATAGAACCCTTTTTGCTAAGAGAATGTTAAGAGAAACAAAGTAAAAACACTTACACTAACTTTTAAGCCTGAAATGCTCCTTGAAGTTGGATCATCCCATACCAAAACCAACACTCTAACACCTTCTTGAGATTTGACTTTTAGCAAATCCCCTAACGTACCATCGGTTGGATCATTGTTACGACGAACCAGCCTAACCGGATGGTTAACCGACCAACCAGTGATATAAATCAACTTCTGTGCCTGTCTTATCGCATCAGCCATATCTTCCCAACACTTTCCATGTATGTACTTCATCCCACCATCAAGATCTACACTCGGGAGAGTACCATCATCAACATGAGCATCCTGGTACAGAGTAACCGTACCGCCTTTCCTTAAAGGGAAATACGTACCGGGAACTCCTACACACTCATTACCAAAACCAACACCGGTTTGGTAAAGCCTCATCTTTTCCATTGGAGTGTATTGAATAGACAAACTCAACTCAGCACCCTTTTTACAAGGCTTCCCACTACTGTCAAGTATTGGAAAAAAACCTTCGATTTTATCACCCGAACACAACACTTTGGTTGGGATTTCAACAGCCCCAATGATCTTTGCTCCGATATAGTCACTGTCTTTCACCTTAAACTTAACTACCGCAGCACTATGAGTCACCGGTACATCGAAATGCTGCATCCACAGAGGATTCTCATCGTTGCTGATCACAAAAGTTTTGGCGATCTTAGCACCTGAAATAGAGACAGACACAAAAGGATCACTTGTACTGTTCTTCCGGTACTTTCTTAACCGATCCATGTTAGGAAGATGTTTAGCTTCCTTAACCCAAATGTCTAAGTTACCATGTAACAACTCTACCCTCAAAGATCCTCCTCTACTTGAATCTCCCATCGAAATAGTCAATGAAGAAAACAAATAAAGAAACTTTCAGTAGTTTGATTTATCTTGAGGCAGTACACACAAAAAAATGTTCAGTTCATTATCAGTAAGACCTTTGAGATAAAATGAACGTTTGAAACTTGAAACTGAAGAATCAAGTGAGCTGTAAGATATAATGATTGTCTACAGTTGCTGAACTAAAAAAATAGTATAAAGTATTGTAGAATATTTAACAACAACACTTGATTAAAATACAGATTTAGACTTCTTGAAGTATACGAAACATTGTCGTTATTATAAAGCTAACAATCTCCGTCACCGTCCGATTACGATCTATCATCATCGTCATCAACCGATGTAATTCACCGATTACAGGTCGTCTGTAGAGTCGTCCCTCCCTATAGTTTCGATAGACGAGTTAAGAAATTAGGATCCTTAATATATAAGCAAATGTTTTTGAAAATAAGTTTTATTAACTTCTAGATATTTGTATCTTAGATATAAAAAATATTAAAATTTGATTCTGTAACTAAAACAATAATTCATTTCACGTTAAGATTTGAACCCACATGCTTTAGACACAAAAATATCGTTTAGAGTAAGCCAAAATTTGTAATTATTTTGACCCGTTACAACTCTAGCCACTAAAGTCATATCAACTTTAGTCCAGACTTCAGCATTGAAGTCTACTTTAACTCTTTTGTCAAAAAAAAAGCCATTCTTTTAACTATAAACCGTAGTTTTCATCAGTGGTTATAACACATGATTGATTGTCTTACAAAAAACCAAAAATTGAGGGTGAGGTTCTACTTCGTAGTAGAAGAGCTATCACTAATCATTATGTTGGTCTTTAGAGCTACTTACAGTGATTTTGTCAATGTTCTGAAGAACCCAAAGAATTTTTTGTTTAATTTAAATCAAATATTCATCTTAATTAACGACTCATATGTCCATCCTCATGTCGTAGCCACACAACAGACAGAGTATTAGTAGACATCCAGCCTTTCGTTTTAGTATTAGAAATATTTCTTCTACATAATAATTTTAATTATCATTCAAAATGTTCCACTTAGTCTTTTTAATAACTAGCTGTTCAGCGTTTTATTATTATAAATATTTCTTCAACATTTTTGTTTTTAGTTGTCATTCAAAATATTTGAAGTTTTTTTAATAACTACCACTATAAAGGTATCATTTAATATGGTTTACTTAGTTTTGTAATAACTAATTGCTTAGCGTTTTAATATTAGAAATATTATCATTCAAAATATTTCTTTTACATAATAATTTTTAATTATGATTCAAAATGTTTGACTTAGTTTTCTAATAACTAACTTGCTCATCCTTTTAGTATAAGAAATATTTCTTCTACATAATTATTTTAAATTATCATTGACTTAGTTAATAACAAACACTAAAGGTATCAAAACCAGATCTAGAAATATTTCTTCTACATAATAATCTTTAATTATTATTCAAAATTTCTGACTTAGTTTTTTTAGTAACCAATTGCTCAGCATTTTAGTATTAAAAAATATCATCATTCAAAATAATTAATCGGCATAAACATTTTTAATTATCATTCAAAATGTTTGACTTAGTTTGCACACGTTTTGAGCAGTAAAAGAAATTGTTGAGATATATAGAAACACTACATACTCAAACATTAATTCGTGTCTCATACATAATCACAAGTGTTAAAAGAGCTCTGCTGTAGCAAAAGTATTAGTATTTCTATGAGGAAATTTGGGAAAATTCCTATAAAAGAGATCACATTTTGAAAATTACACCACGACTAAATTAACCTAAATATGAAATTTTCTAATAATTTGATATTTAAACTAGATATATATATCTATCTTTATTATTAAACTAGATATATATATATATATATTTTTTATTATTATAATAATAGTGTTTAACTCATAACTGCGTTAACACCACAACATAATGGAGTGGTTGAATGCAAGAATTGCACTATTATGAACATGGTGCAAGGCATTCTAAACAACAAAGAAGTCCCTAAAAAGTTCTGGCAGGAAGCTGCAAGATAGATCGTTCATGTACTAAACCGAAGTCCAACCACTGTATTAAAGCAAAAGACACCTGAAGAGATGTGAAGTGGAGTGAAACCTACGATGTATTACTTTAGAGTGTTGGGTTGTTAATGTCTCAGATCAAAGAAAGAAGAGGTTATGATAAGAGCACTGCATGTGTGCTAATTGGAGTGAGCAACAAATCAAAAGGCTACCGGTTTGTACAATCCAGTTACATAGAAGATTGTGACGAGTCAAGATATTGTATTCGAAGAAGAAATTGGTGGAACTTGAAGAAGAAATTCAGAGTAACAAATGATTTGGGAGGATTGTGAATCAGATGTGGAGCATAATGAAGGAGAATTAATCCAAGATTCTCATTCGCCACAAATTGTAGATGAAAGATTGGAGGAGATTCTCCAGAGTTCTTTGATTCCACGAATTCACCCTGCCTATTTACAAGACTATACCATTGGAGAAGAACTAGCCAAAGAAGAAGAAGATACAACAAACTTTGTCATGTTTGTTTTGATTGATGATCCAGACACGTACGTTTGATGAAGCCAAAGGAGATGACAAATGGATAAAAGTTATGGAGACTGAGCTGGAATCAATAGAAAGAAATGGAACATGGTATCTTACAGAGCTACCAAAAGGAGCGAAGAGGATTGGAGTAAAATGGATTTATAAGAAAACTCAACAAGAAATGAGAAGTTGAAAAATATAAAGCTAGACTCGTAGCCAAGGGTTATGAACAACAACAAGGTGTGTACTACGATGAGGTGTTTACTTTGGTAGCACGATAGGACACAATAGGTATGATCTTAGCCTTAGTTGCTCAAGAAGATTGGTGTGTCTATCAATTGGATGTAAATAGCACATTCCTCACAAATGCGCTATAAAGCTTGAAGCAGGCACTTCGTGCTTGGTACACAGTAGAATCAAAGTATACTTCACCAAAAAGAGGTTCCAAAGGTGCAAATACCAACAAACACTGTTTATAAAAACCGGAGAAGGTAACAAAAATTCTCATTGTTAGTCTATATGTGGATGATTTGATCTTTACAGGAAATGATGTGACTATGCTCGAAAAGTTCAAATCATTTATGAAAGAAGAGTTTGATATGACCGATTTGGGAAAAATGAAGTATTTTCTAGGAGTTGAGATGATGCAAGATGCAGATGGGCTCTTCATTCACCAAAGGAAATATGCTGGAGAAATCTTGGAAAGATTCAATTTGCTGGGTGGAAATAAATTTGAAAATCTGATGGTGCCGGGGATAAGACTTTCGAATGAAGGAGATGAGAATAAGGTGGATTCGACACTGTACAAACAGTTAATTAGGAGTTTGATGTACATCACATCAACAAGGCCATATCTTATGTTTGTGGTGTGCTTATTAAGCAAATACATGGCGGATCCTACTGATCAACATATGCAGGCGGCGAAAAGAATGACTCATTACCTAAAAGGGACTTGAGGCTTTGGTATGTTTTACAGAAGAAGAGTTGTTGGTGAGCTAACTGTTTATACATACAGTGATTATGCCGGAGATATTAATGATAAAAGCAGTACAAATGGTTATGCGTTTCTGCTAAGTGGAGGAGCTGTCGCTTGGGCATCGAAGAGGCAGCCGGTCATAACTTTATCCATAACAAAGGCTGAGTTCATTACAACAGCTCATTATGCTTGTCAATGCATTTGGATGAAAAAGGTTTTGGAAAAGTTTGGATTAAAAAAGTCAGGAAGTACTACAATCATATGCGACAATAGCTTAACTATTAATTTGTCAAAAAATCATGTTCTTTACGGCCAGAGCATATCGATATCAGTTTTTATTTTTTGAAGAATTTTGCTAAGGATAAAGTTGTTAAGCTTGTTCATTGCCTTTGATACAAGAAAACTTGTGAGAATCCTAAATGTTATTGAACACAAGGACGAAGAACATTAGGAGCCAAATCCCTGAGTCTTTTATGGCTTATGAACAGTAAGACATAATATCTACCGAACCAATTTATAAACCATTTAAGCCAAAGAACACTGTACTCAAACATTAATCAGTCTCCCATACATAATCACAAGGATTAAAAAAGCTCTAATTTATGAGCAACAAAAATATTAGTATTTTTTTAGCAAAGCGCAATTACAGTTTATTACGTCATTGTGTTGTTAAAACCAGATAAACTAAAAAAAGAAAAGCTTTTTAAAAGGAAAAAAAAAGTTGGAAATTTACAAAAGTGGCATAAGGATTTACATGATTCTACATTTGCTATCTTTAGAGGATTTGCCTTCGTGTTTTGAAGACGATGCTGCAGCTGATGATGGCCTGTGGCTGCTCCTTGGTACCTGAAATGGTCAATACAAATATCTGACTATTAACATTCAATAAGCAGCAGCAATTGGATTCTGATTATGGTAATGCTCATCATCGTGCGATGTTACAATCTACAATCGCAATTAGTTTTACAGGCTCTAGCTAAACAGGTGTGAAGTAAATGGAAAATAAATATGTAAATATGTACCAAACATAACATACAAATTCTGTTTTTAAAGCACACTTTCTCATCATAATTGTTGTAGAATTATTGTAACGTACTCAGGAAAAAGCTAAACAGATTTTTTTTTGTCTATTCTTGATTTCCTAAGATACTGTTATCTAATTATAGATGTATAAGTAGGAATAAAATACCTGAGGACCAGTGATGAGTCGTGAAGCACCAAGACTTGTTGGCTGTGGAGTTGGGTTACTCCGTGGGCTCTGGTCCTCAAACTCTTGCTGTTGCAAAGCTATCGCCAGTTGTAGATCAGAGCTGCACAGTACCATGAAAAGTCAAACCAATCATAAACATGTATCAAGAAAAGACATTTCTAAAAATGTGTCTTATCATCTACTTTTGAGACCCGACTACTGGTAAGAACAAGGGTTTTAGTCGAAACAGTGAAGTTTTAGAACAACGGGAATTGATTTATCACTGGTTATAAAATGGTAGGAGATATTTACTTGACATCAATGCCTGTGTCTGCCACATTATTGATGCTCGCAAGATAATCCTGTTGAGGAAAAATCGAAAGGAAAAAAAAAAATGATTAAAATGGTAAAAGAAGGAGAGATCTTGTATGGACTATGTTATGAGGAAAACTTACAGCAGTATTTGTAACTGCGTTTCGTTCATCCCATGTGCCACTTGCACCAGTCGTGCTGCTGTCAATCTTGAAGTCCTTGAAGGTAGCAGTCATGAATGCAGTGTCGCCATTAACCTGAAACCAAATTTCATGTCAATAGTGGTCACAACAAGCTATAGCACGAAAGAGACTGTGGATATAATAATATCTCCTTAAGAGAACGAAATATAAAGAGAAACAAGAATACCTCGTTTAGCTTTTCCCAAACCAAATCAGGCTGATTCAGGTAACCTTGATCTGTAGCCAAAAGATAAAGTTCACCTTCATACTGCAAAAATGAGAGAAACAAGAAATAAGTGAATTGATATTAGCCTGTTACAATCCAAAAGATGGAAATATCGACAAATTAAACTAACCTTGAACATGGTGCAGAAATGGTTGTTGCGGAAGAAAACACATAGTTCACGTTCTTTGAGACCTTCTTGCAAGCGAAAGAGTCTGTAAGATACAATCAATATAAAATGTAAGATAAAACCAATGTAGTTAATTAAAAAATATAATTTATCAACCATATAGATTAACATTACTCACCCGCAAAAGGTTAATTGACTGGCACTATTCTTCATGAAGTTCCTGATTAGTTCACCTGGTAAAACGCAACAATAATGTATTAATATCTCAAGAAATATGGGAACTTGTGAATTATATCCCAAAAATGTATGACAATCAATATCCCAAGTAGATCAAATAGAGAGTATAGTTTACCTTCTTCTGCTGTGAGCCCATCAGTAGATTTCCCTTCAGAAGAACAGTCACCAACAGTCTTCTCAGCCCTTTTACCAAGAAGTGACTCACCTTCATATACAGGTTCTTTGTCTGCACAAAGTGGAGCCACTGCGTTTACACATTCCTCACCTTCATACATGGGTTCGTCAGAAGATACAGGTGAGGTTAAAGCATCAGGTACATCGTCATGCTGGGATCTGCAACTAATATCTGGAGATGGAGTGAACATTTGAGTAAGAGACCGTACAGGGATATAAAATGCAAAAGTAGACTAATTATGTAAAGAGACAATAATGAGGTTACTCCATCTAAGGATAGAAAAAAACTACCTGGACTATCCGAAGTCGCATCAGACTTAAGCAGACTCTCAGAACTGCATTCAGTTTTGGTTGGCTCCAGATTAGTCGTCTTCACTGAAAGCGCCTCAGAAGAAGTTTCATGTGCAGTAGCCTTTTCGTTACTATTCACATTCTCAGCATCGCGACTCATCTCATCTCCAGAATCCTTAGAAGATAACTGATCCTGGTCAAGATCCCCACTTTTAATTGTAATCGATGTCTGGAAATGTCCAGCTTCCATTGTATTCCTCTCGTTTTCTGATGCTTTATCACCATCAGATTTGAACTGTTCGAGGTGGTAGATATTGTCACCATGGGTGGTAGTTTGATTTGCATCTGAAAACGTGAATGCAGAGTCTAGACTGGTTGTGTCACCGTGAGTGTTCGGTGCTGGATCGTTTCCCTGCCCCTGTGATAATTGCAAGGCTTGCAGTAACTCTGTTTCTTCTTCAAGATCTCCCTTTCTCAGTCTACGAAGCTCTGCAGCTGCAGGTGGAGACTCATCAAAAGACCTTGTTTTCGAAAGACATGGTGAAGGAACCCCTAAAGCTGCAGTGGTTGCCGCAGCAAAATCAACAGAATCTTCTCCAGGATTTTGATCGCCTTCTCGAGCCTCTACATTCTGCGTCTCCAGTGCAACGAGCTCACCCATTAGAGCATTATATGACTTGCTTCCAATTGCATTAGCCGCTTCAACATCCTGTACGTACGCAAAGGGGAAAGCAACGGAATCAATTATTTTACTACAGAGCCAGGATTGATACATACACCATCATAAAATGAATGCTCTTGAACAGTGTTCCTATCCATAACGAGCCAAACAATGGATAAAAAGAAGAGAACATGGCCCCACATCCCAAACATTCACACACAAAAAGCACAAATAGACAAGAAAGCAATGAAAACATGTCAACGGCCTATAGTAATGAGACGAAATGACGTACCTGCGGATCAACTATCCATCCGTGATATAAGGGAATGTCAAGTAAATCAAAGATTGCACACTCAGGTGTGAACTCGAAATCATCAATCCTGAAAACAGGTAAAGATTCAGTGTTATGATAGAAAATTCCAAACATAGTAGAAGCGGAAACAGATTACTAACCTCCTGAACTTAATATTGACATCGATTCCAGTTGTAAGGCGTGGAAGAAGATCAATCGCATCAGCAATGTTCTGTTGCTGGTTCTCAATATATCCTTCCTCTTTGTTCTGTCATTAGAGAAACAGAAACAAGCTTATCCACGTAGATTCAGGTCATAAGAGAATGTATCAAATGGGTAAGAAGAAGCCAGCACAGGAGATGATTACATTGACTTTACTATTGGAATCAATCAGTCTGTCGACAACGAGGGACATCAATCTCTCCTGAGAAACCTCGTAACAGTCAGGATTAAGATTCAAGTTGTTTCTCAAGAGTAGAACATTACCTGTTGCATCCCAAAAAATCAATCACAATCAGGAAACTAAAAAGTGTTAAATTTGGTCTATTCATTATGAAAATCAGACGAGAATTTACAAGCTTCAGTCTTCAAATTACAAAATTATTAACACAATTACCATAAAATCTGATCATAAGGTTCACTAAGCATCAAATCAAAACAGTGCGTAAAACATTCATTACGGGTATTACATTATACCAAACCTAACACCGATTCGTTACATTTCCAGAAAAATCAGTAACGAAAACCTAATGAATCCATGATACTAACACCGAAATTCCACTTAGAACCCTATTCTACGGCCTTAATTGAAGTTTATCAACCCTAAGGTGAACGAGAAATGGAGAGAAAACAAATATAGGAGGAGGAAGAAGAAGAACATTACAAATGGCTAATAGAGGGCAAGGTCCATTTTCGTTTTGGAGAATGATGGGCGTGTTTCGTCCAAGGAACTGAATCGATTTCGTCTTGTAGGTGACCTCCTCCGTGGTTTCCTTAACCATATCTTGCTGCATCGCTTCTTGATTCGTCTGTGTCTCTTCGCTTGGAGAGTCTGGAGGCGGAGAAGAGGAAGCGGTCGCCATTGATGATCAAAAACTAAAGAGATCAAAAATCAAATTCGAAAAAAAAAGTCAAATTACGATCGAAGAAGCAGATACTAATATTGGAATTTCCGAAAGGAAATTTTTCTTTTTTTTTTCTGATCCAAAATCGAACGAGCGAGCGTGCGAGGAAGAGGATTTGATTTTTATATATTACGAGAAGGAACTTTTATGGAAGTGGAGATATGAGTAGTGAGTCATATAACCAAACCGATACGTACCAAATCAAAATTTGGTAATTGTTAAATTGTTATAGCAATTTAGTTATCCGGATTTGTTATGTTCCGAAACTGCGAATGAAAAATGGATGGAATATAATATACGAACAATTGGTTCCGGTATTTGATTTATACGGTTCGGATGAATCAGTTTTCAAACGGGTATCTTTTACGCGTAGCTTCTTCTCTGGGTTAGGTCGATTTTAAATTCTTATCATAACACCGTCATTTTCTAAATAGCCATAACTAATCTTTTTTTACTAGTCTTTCTTTATTCCTCCTAATTAATTTATTTATATTATTGTTGACGGAAACCAAATCTCTTATGTCGTCTTCAATAGAGTTTCTAAGGAGAGTATCTGAAAATTAAAAAAAATAAAAAGTAATAAAGAAAGAGAGAAAAGAGAGAGCCGCCTCTTGTTTAGAATTTTTAAAACTGAAAAATGTGTCAATTAATGATTTTACTGAATTTATATATATTTAAAATTTTAATTTAATTTTCAAAGTATATTAATAAAATATTAATGAGATAAAATTATTTTAGACATTTACCATTAGAGGTGCTCTTACTTAGCTAATGGAATATTTTGGTCGATAAAACCTATTTTCTTAGTTATTTTCTATTTTTTTATGGTCTTCGTATTTGGTATGTAAAACCAAACTAACTACACATAAATTCCTCTTTTATAAACTTAGTTTTGTAAACTATGTTTAATGTTCCTCCAATTTAATGAATATGATGTTCCATTTGACAAAGAAAAAAGAATCATTCTAGTGTTTAAATGGATATAGAAGGCCAATACGACCATTTTGGGCTGTAAATAGTATTTTTTATCTTGCATGACTGAAATGAATAGTGAAAAGCTCAAAAGCCCATTTGAAAACCAAGTTTTATAGTATTTGTCTATTTGATAATCGACGATAGTCATCATATAGTATAATTTTCTTCTAATCTTCATTGTTCATGTTTGTAGCTTTGTATTTGATAATCGACGATAGTCAAATAGTATATTATCCTAAACGTTTATTAAATGTCAGATTATATACATCTTAACTTATAATGCTATACACAAACATTAAACAATATAAATATATCTCAATGTCTCATCTGATTGTTGTTGGTGGTCTCCGATTACAGTGATGGTGACAAAGGCAACATCATAACTTTCACAACAAACAATAAGATCTCCCTTAAAGTATGCATATGATATCACTCAATCTGAGTTATTTTATTTATCCGAACTTAATTAAGACATTTGTGAGCCTACCTATGTTTAATCTAAGATCTTCAACCGATGCATTTCTTTTCAACGCATCGTATTTTATTTTTGGAGTCATTTAATTGTACCGAAACTATGGTTATGGGTTATGCTCAAGGAGAAAATATTTATGCAGTTTTTTTGTTACCAACTACACAACTATGCGGAATCTTACTTTATTTTCGTTCATTGTATGAATCCACGACTAACAACAAAAAACAAAAACAAATTAAGTTGTGTATCAAGCAAAACATGTGTGTTTTCACCTACATCTGTAAATCATAATAACAAAAAGAACATCAAAGGACTTATGCTCATAAATCTAACTCATATTAAGTATCTTCTTTTCTATTTTAAACTTAGTTTGTTTTTGCACCAATGCTATTGCAAAATAAGCTATATAAAAACTCATACATATATATGTATTTTTACATCTGGCATAGTGGTCCAAAGCCACATTTTTTAACATCCCACACGACGTTCGAAATCAAGCTTTGTCACTGGACTATTCAACTTCGTCGATATAGAAAAAAAAAACTCAAGAAACAACAACAGCGAGTTTACATCTGAAATTTGGCATATGTACACATAAGAAAACAGAGCCAGTGAAGATTTAAATCCTTTCGTTTTGTAAGTAAGCAAATGCATTATTACCCAAAAAAAAAGGACTGATCTCCAACTAATTTTCAAATTTGTAACTAAAGAACAATAATAACAATTAAATAAATAAGCACATTGTGGGTAAAAAAAGCTTGTGGTCCTCCCAGCGTGCAACACCTGTGCCGAGATTTTTTAAAAAGATGGATCAGAATAAATGCTAAATTAATTAAACAATTAAAGCATCCAATAGTGGCTAAGCACCTGCTAAATGCTAGTAGAACAATAATTACAGAATAAAATAATAGAATAAATTTGGGACAAAAAGAGAAGAATAAAGTAAATATGAAGCAGTGGGTGAAGAAATGCACCAAATAAGGAGTGGGCATGAGTGCCAAAAAAGAAAAGAGAGAGATAAGTGTGGCCCTGTGAATTCGTACGGAAGTCATCTTGGTTAAAAGAGAGATAAGTGTGGTTCGAAATTTCGATTTTCAAATAACACGCTCGTACCAACGGATATCTATATGTAGATTTAATATAGTCAGAGACTCGGAAACAGTAAGGAATTTTAATTAGCAAATCCTTTTTTTGTTAAAGTAAATTATACATAATTCTGAATTTTAAATTTATATAAAATGATATAATTGTGTGTTATGAAACAGGGCTTTGGTCGTGTTTTGTGACAGATTCAACGGACTTATTAGTTTGCATGGCATCGCATGTGTTTACAACAATCGAGCTATGTAATTTTATATACGTGATAAGTGTGGCCATGTAAATTCGTACGGAAGCCATCTTACTTATGTACGTGACGTTCTCTTATTGGTTAACCGGCGTAAGAGCGTGGTTCTAATAACACGCTCGTACGAACGGACATCTATATGCAGATTTAATGTCCGATATAGTAAGAAATTTTAATTAGCAAGTAGTGTATTTTGTTTAAGTAAACGCAACTCTCACATTATTAGTAAATCACTATAAACTCTAAATATTGCCTACTTTCATGTTTTAATCGTTGTCTTGTAAATCGGTATCGAAAATAAATCCACATCGTAACATATTTTAATAATGCAGTATTCTTTTATGCTATGGATGGATCAAAACAATAACTAAATCTGTGCAACGGAGATCAAACGGCGAGTGTGAAGAAGATTCTTGTCCGTGAAGAGCTGGCAACCGACAGGGCTGCTGCCTGTCTTCAAGTGCATTTGCTTAACTCACTTTGACGGATCGCCGGATCTATAGGTTGTCGGTAATAATTCACACGTTTCATGATCTCAGCTTTGAAATCCACGTTGTCGTCTGATTACAGTGATGAGGTAAGTGATCACGTACACAGTATAATACTTTAATCACTCGAATTTCAATTATTAGCACTAGAGCTTGTGGAGGTTTACTTTCAAACTTTATATTTAAGAAGAAGCTAAAAATTTTGTACATCCGTTTTTTTTTTTTTTTTTTTTTTGTGGTAAAAAGAGGTTTATCTCAATTATTGTCTCATTTCAAATTTTCTTTTTGTTAAAGATAGTCTATTAAATTATTAATTATGCCACGAAAAAAAATCTACGATAAAATATTACATAATGAATAAATTAACCATGGCATTGGAATTTATTCTCCACCAATAATTTTTGCTCTTATAAATCACATTTTTACCAAAAGAAGAATGGATATCGTTTAATGCTGTTTCTATATGTAAGTATACCCATGGATACTTTAATTAATTAAGCACTTTGGTCTAGGGTTATAGACGCCATCATAGGTATAGAGAAAATATGGCTAAAGATGGAAGAATAACCCCTCAAAGATAATATATAATCAGTTCAAGCATAATAAAAATCCTACTTTATTTAATACAGTAGTTTTTTGTTATTGGCTCCTAATTTCATAAATTTAGGGTTACCTAGAATCTTCCACTTCTCTCTTGCCGACTCTTTCCAAAGACTCAATCCTCGTTTATCTCCTCATCTCTCTCTTTCTCTGAGAGACAAAAAGCGAAATTAAACGCATACACAAAAACAAAGAGGGTAATCCTTTTTTTTCTTTCTCAAATCTGGTCTAAATTTCTTATTGATATCTCCTCTATTTATTGTAAAAGGTCAGAATTGTTCGTGTTCTTCATGTTCGTTGTTCTCTAATAACCTGATGCTGTAGTATAAGAAATTTGTCTATATAAATTTCAATAATGGATTCCTTGTAATTTCCTTTCATGGGTACTTTTATTTTAACTGGAATCAAGTATTTAGCTTCAACTTTTTGTCATTTGATTCTCATGGAAAGAGAGGGCAAAATCAAGTTAAGGTGTTGACTATATATTAGGGTTAATTAATATAGAAGAATGGTGCGGGGAAAGACGGAGATGAAGAGGATAGAGAACGCGACGAGCAGGCAAGTGACTTTCTCCAAGAGAAGAAATGGACTTTTGAAGAAGGCTTTTGAGTTATCAGTCCTTTGTGATGCTGAAGTTGCCCTAATTATCTTCTCCCCTAGAGGCAAACTCTATGAATTCTCCAGCTCCTCTAGGTACGTTTGATATATATATGTACATATACATTCGCTGTACATCGATCTATGCATCATGATAGTTTTTTTCATGAATCCATGAGTAGTTATTGTTATATGAATCCATGGTTTGTTGTTTTTTATATGAACCCATGATTAGTTTGTAAACCTTTTCTTTTTGTTTTTAGTTAGTAGAGTCGACTGATTTTGGTTGGTTTATGTCTGCTAAAATGAAGATTCTTAATTTCTTGAGAGAAAACAAAAACCAGATAGATCGGAAAAAGAAAGTCGGTGTTCAAAAGAGAGTGGTTAAAACGTGGTTCGCACATGGGTAAATGGTTTCGTTGCAAATGCAAAATAGATTAATTTTGAGAAAGTGTGGACTTCTGGACAGAGAACCCACTTTTAAAAAATCAATTTTTGACAAAAAAGAGCCAAACAAATTTCTATTTAAGTGTAGTTCCTAGCAATAGGTTTGAGCAGTGTTCTTACTCAAATTAGGCAACAAAGTCTCATATGAGTTGGATTCTAGTTTGGTTCCTTTAATTTAACCAGATTTGGAAAAGACAATATTTCCTTATTTAGAGGTGTGTCTCCCTATTATATGTGCTTGTGTGTGTAGTTGCACAATAAGTAGGATGTAGAACTTACACATACACACAAAGTTACAAACTGTCAAACGCATATATATATATATATACATATACATATTTATGTGCAAGTATATATACGGTGTACATAAATATACTATATAAAAATATCAAGCACTATTTAATCTTAAATTTGAGTTATTGTACTTGCAAATATTTGTTTTTCAAGTAAGAATTGATCAATGGTGTTTACACTGATAGTCTGATACTGATGAGAGATTTGAGCATTCGGGTGTTATGGAAAACTAAATATTGCATTATGCATGTGTATCATGTAACTGCACGTATATACGTGAGTGAGTATACATATACATTTTTGAAACATTTTTTTTCCTAAACGCATCTCTGTGTACAAATTTCATAAACAGCTAGGCATGATCATGATCACATATAGATAGATGCTCGATCACATTATGTAACATAAAAAGTATGAAATGGTAGGTTGGTAAATGAAGAGAAACTTAACAAAAATTATTAGTTGATCATTGTTGCGTTAAAAAAAAACCTCTTGACAATTTGATGATAGTAAAATTTTAAAATTCCAAAACAACATTAACTAGTTGAAAGAAAAATTACCACTAGGCCAATATATTCTAACACACCATCGTTACTAGTTAGACACCAATGATATAATATACCACTCCACAGTACTGTTTGTATGTTTCTACATACGCCCTTCAAAAGAGGCATTTGATACACATGATACAGTATGTATGATGTATATGCTGGCAACAAAGAGGCATTTGCTTCACTTTTAACACTCATAGTACAAAGGCCTTTAACTATCTCAGTGATGACAGTACTGAAGGAGTCATCAGCATGTGGCTAAATCAGAACATGTTGATTCTTTTTATGCTCCTATAGTTAATTTATTCTTCGCGTAGTTATGTATTACGGGGAAATCATAATGCATGCTTATTATGTATTTGTTTAATGATAAGTTCGTACTTTATGAGACAAAAAACAAATGTCAAGTCTTTCTTAAGCATGCTGAGATGGTAGAAAATGAAGTAATTAAGAAACTGGTTAACATATAGCCCGAGATGGTTGTCTATATATATTTGAAATGGTTATGTTTCTATCGATATAATGATAAACTTTGTATTAAGGGTCGTTGGAGTGAAATATGTTATGATTATAATGTTTAAGAAAAGCATGCCTTATATTTTGCCTCTCATTTGCTTTGATTTAATTAATTTTGGTTTTTGTAACATTGGTTTTAATTTTGATTTTCTTAAAATTTTCAGTATAACAAAAACAGTAGAACGATATCAGAAACGAATACAAGATCTCGGCTCTAACCACAAAAGAGATGATAACTCACAGGTTAGCAAAATTTTTTTATTGTGTTACAATTCATTCTTAGCTTTGGTATAAAAGAAAGGTTCTCTTCATTTGTGAGTAACATACTTATCATATCAGTCATAGTAATTCATTATGATTCTTCTTCGTGTTGGACTCGTCGTACTGCCTTCTTAGTGAATATACATGTAAAATATATGGATTTTTGCTTTGAGTCAGCAGTGATTTGACTTACCATTTTGGCTAAAACTTTTTTTTTTGGGCAAAAAGCTTTTTTCCTTTTAATTTATGTTTGTGTTAAATTCTCATGATCAAACCTTGTCGCTAGCAAGCAAAAGGCGAAACCTATGGCTTGGCAAGAAAGATCGAACAACTGGAGATTTCAAAAAGGTTTAATGAATCCAAAATATTTACAGAATTTATGAATGTAATATTATTTACCGCATAACATTATTGTGTTGGAAAAAAAAAACAATTGCAGAAAATTACTGGGAGAAGGACTTGAAGCATCTTCTATTGAGGAGCTACAACAATTGGAGAACCAGTTGGACCGAGGCTTAACCAAAATAAGAGCCAAAAAGGTAACTTATATATCTCTGATCATTTCCTTCTGTAGATGAAAATGAAATTAGTATTCACCAAAGAGTTGTGTGCTGGATTCTGAAGAGTATCGATTAGTTTATCAAATGACCTGATTATGTAAAGTAGATGTATACAAGAGAAAGATAGGATGACATCTTTTTAAATGAGATCTTATGAAAATTTTAACCAATTAATTTAGCTATGTTTGTTCTTAAATTCAGTACCAATTATTACGTGAAGAAATTGAGAAGCTAAAAGAAAAGGTAAAACAACTCAAAAACCTCTAGCTTTTCATATATGATAGGTACTAAATGTATCCGCTAAACTAAACATTTTTTCTGGTTTCTTGTCAATATTTTAGGAGAGGAACCTCATTGCAGAAAATAAAATGCTGATGGAGAAGGTACAAATCATTATTAACATTACGGCCTCGCTAGATATAACAACGAATTGATTTGTTCTCTATAAGTCTATTAATTATCTGCTTTCTTAAACGAGAGTTTTAATTTGAGTATATGTGTGAATAAAGTATGAGAAGGAAAGAGGAGGAACAATAGCAAGAACATCATCATCATCAACATCGGAAGAAGTAGACACAGATGATGACAGTGAAATGGAAGTGGTGACTGATTTGTCCATTGGACCTCCTGAGACTCGACACTCCAAAAAGTTTCCTCCTCCAAACTAATATATGTTTATTTGACCTTGAATATATATAATTTCACAGCTTTCAATATTATGTCTTCTCTTTCTTGAAGAAAAAAAAAAAAATGAGGTTGGTAAATGTAACTAGTGTATCCAATAACATCTTTGAATGGGAATGGCAAATAAAATTTTCAGTAAGATTTTTACATTTTCCCCTCTCATCAATTGAAACTAGAACTCTATTTAAGAACTATATTCTAAAACTCTAAAAGATATAATTTTATAACAAAACCAAAATCCCAACTTATATTTGTTTACTTTTTTTGGCAAATATAGTCTCTTAGCTAGCTTAGAAATATTTGTAATTATTCACAAATATCTCATAGCTTAATGAAATTGATTTTTATAGTCAAAAACTTGCACATAATTTAATTAATGGAAATAAGCTTACAAAAGATTTTCAATGTAGTGTAAACAGAATTATCAAGCGTAAATCTTCGTATAATAGTAAATGTGGTACATGATATAGGTAAAGCTAATAGTTGTAAATCTCTATAACACAGTAAAATTGACCGTTATAAAATTGTAGATATATTGATTATAATTTGTAATAGATTAATAAATCAGTATTAAAAAATGACTTACACATAATTTACATCAACTAATTTTTTTCATTTACGCAGAAGTATAAAGAATTTTTATTGGCACAACAAAAACAAATAAAGAAGAGAGCTAAAGAACCGAAAACAAGCTATGTGGAACGACAGAAGTCAATGGTCAACTAATTGGACTCGGTCAAAGTCGACGAAGTCAACCGTTGAAAGAAAAGTATCTCCTCCAATAAGTTTCCCATAACTTGTTTGCTAAGATATTCCAGTGTCTTCGTCTTCGTCTTCTCCATGGCCATTACTTCGTTACTCGATACAGTTTTCAGTAGAAGAAAGAAGAAGCCTAATGATTTCATAAGCAGTAAGTGTCCGATTTCTTCTAAATTTCTCTTTGCCCTCACATCACATACACAAACACACACAAAACCACGATTTATATTTATTTTCACTTATCTTTGCTAAATTTTATAGTTTTGGAATTCGACTTCGACACTATTAGAGTTGCAACTAAAAGGTTATCCGATCTGATTGGTCGTGGCGGGTTTGGTTTTGTTTACAAGGTGTCTCTTTAATCATTATTGATCAGTTAAGAAATAATTAATTTTTTTTTTTTTCTCATTTAAACATGGTTATTGTTTTTTTTTCAAAATAAAATTATAGGGTAGGCTTAAAAGCGGAGAAGACATAGCAGTCAAGAGATTGTCAAGAAGCTCCACTAGAAGCGAGAGAGATTTTCGTAATGAACTCGAGATTTTGTCTAAGCTTCGGCACAAGAATCTGATCCATCTTCTTGGTTTCTGCTCTGAAAGAGACCAACATTACCTTGTTTATGAGTTCATGCCTAACTCAACCCTCGATTGTTTTATATCTGGTTAGACAGCAAAACTGTTCTGAATCCAATCTTGTCTAGTTTCAAGCTCTGATCATCATTAACTCATTGAGGTCATGTGTTTCAGATCCATGTAGAGCTTCTCAGCTAAATTGGAAGATGTGTAAAGACATAGTCGAAGGCATAGCTCGAGGGCTACGTTACCTTCATGAAGAATCCGGGTTATGGATCGTTCACCGCGACATTAAACCTAAAAATATTCTATTGGATTCATACTTTAAACCGAAAATCACGGGGTTTGAATTGGCTAGGACGATGCAACAAGGTGGAAATGAAGCGGAAACAACTGGAGTTGCCGGTACCATGTGAGTGAAGTTACCTTATTATGTATACTGTTTTGAAGATGATAAGAGACTAATAATACACAACATTTTTGGGATAATATTCAGAGGGTATTTAGATCCGGAGTACTTGCGAACGGGACGTGTTTCTGTCAAATCTGATGTTTATGCCTTTGGAGTTACCATCTTGACGATCATCAGCAGAAGAAGGGCTTATAGTTCGGCCGAAGAACCTCTAATCGGATATGTGAGTTTAGATCAAAGCAAAAGTGTCTAATTATTGTTATGTTTTTCTTAATTGTATATCTTGTTTTCTCTTTAGGTTATGGGATGCTGGAACAGAGGAGAAGCCATCGATGTGATCCACGAAGAGATGAGAGAAGAAGAAGGAGAAGATTCGATAAGCGAAATCTTGAGATACATTCACATTGCTTTGCTATGTGTTGATGAAAATGCACAGACGAGACCGAGTTTAGATGAACTTCTTCATTGGTTTAGTTGTGTCTCTACTCTTCTACCTGAACCAACAATTGGTAATCGATTTCTTGGAGAGGAAGAAACCTATATCTCTTGGACATAGCTCTAATCACCCACGTCTTCACGTTATGGAGATTGATTATGATCTCTTAAACTAAGATTAGCTCTGCTTGTGTGCTATGGATTGATGAGAATGATGTATTAGTTAATGTCATAAAATACATGTATAAACTACAATTCAGATTGAAACAACCTGGATTATCTAAACTTTGTTTGTTATACTTATACCTGTTCGGAACTCCAAACGAATACCGAATTGTTACCAAATTAATATCTCATTAAAAGAATTTTAACGTCCTTTAAATTAGTTGACAAAAAAAAATATGATACATTTCGCTAATAAAAACATGATTTGTAATCATAATTAATGGAAATCGAAGTAATCTACTATTAATTTGGTAACTTTATAAACTAAAAACTGAAGGAATACTGGAACGAATAAACTACTTTGTACTCGATTATGTAAACTCTATTCCAAAAAAAAATTATAAATAAATTGCTTAATTCTATAAAATATTTTCCAGTTGATAATATTCTGCAACTTAATTAGTTTTCTGTGTAAAATAATTTATTTAGCCGGTTTGACATGTAGAACCGGCTAAATTACTGTTTTAGAGAAACAAAATGCTATATATAAAAAGAGTAATCAAAACCAATCTTTTAGATGTTTAATTGGCCACACAAACACAAAAGATAAGGTAAAGGAGACTATAGGAGTCAAGGTCAACAGTCAAAGTCAACTGTCCAGAAAAAAAAAAACTCCTCCAATAAGTTTCCCATAACTTGTTTGCTAAGAAACTCCATAGAAACACTGTCTTCGTCTTCGTCTTCTACTCTTCTCCATGGCCATTACATCGTTACTCGATATCGTTCTCCGAAGAAGAAAGAAGAAATCTACTGAACTAATCACTACTGGTTTCAAAAACAGTAAGTCTTTGGTTTCTTCTCAATCGATCTGTCTTCCTTACATCCCACACAAAAACCCTTTGAATAATATTCATTTTTACTTATCTCTGATAAATTCTGCAGTTTTCGTATACGATACCATTAGAACTGCAACTGATGAGTTCTCGCATCAGATTGCTCAAGATCAGTATGGTTCTGTTTACAAGGTTGACTCTTCAATCTCTATAACTTCCTCGACATGATTTCTAATTAAATTTTTCGGAGTGTTAATATTCGAATTTGGTCTGAAATTGTAAGAAAACATGTTTTTTAATTTATTATTATTTTTTTTAATTTGAATTTCAGGGTAAGCTTGAAAGCGGACAAGAAATATCAGTGAGGATAGTTTTACCTAGATATCAGATAGAGTTTCTTGATGAAATCAATCTTTTATCAAAGCTTAGGCACAAGAATCTGATCCACCTTCTTGGTTTCTGCTCTGAAAGAGACCAAAATTTCCTTATTTATGAGTTCATGCCTAACTCAAGCCTTGGTGGTTTGATATTCGGTTAGTCAAATTGAATATTTTTTCCATCTTCTAACCCAATCTTGGCTAGTTTCTCAAGCATCTGATGATAATTACTCGTTTTTTTTTTTATAATTGTGTCAGATCCAAATAGAGATTCTCATCTAAGTTGGGAAATGTGTCGAAACATTATTGAAGGCATAGCTCGAGGGTTACGTTACCTTCATGAAGAATCCGGCTTGCGGGTCGTTCACCTCAACATTAACCCTACAAACATTCTATTGGATGCCGATTTGGAACCGAAAATCGCAGGGTTTAGATTCGCGAGGCTGATTCAAGAGGACGAAAACGAAGGAGAATCAAGTAACCTTATGGGTACTGTGAGATTGTAAGTGAAGTCTATTGATTAACATATTTTGAGGGAAAGTGTTTCAAAGATAGTTGAGAGACTGATACACAAAACCCTCCAGTATAGCTCCAGAATACCATCAAACCTTGCGTTTCTCTGTCAAATGTGATGTTTATTGCTTTGGAGTTACCATCTTGACGATCATAAGAGGAAGAAGCGCTGATAGTTTTGGCCATCTAGATCCAATCGGAGATGTGAGTTTATATATTAAAGCAAAAAGTGTCTATGGTTGTTAAATGTTTCCTTCATCGTAATTGTTGTCTACTTGTAGGTTAGGACATGTTGGAAAAGTGGAGAAGCCATCGATGTGATCCATGAAGTGATGAGAGAAGTAGAAACAGAAGATTCAATAAGAGAAATCTTGAGATACATTCACATTGCTCTACTCTGTGTCAATGACAATCCAGAGACAAGGCCGAGTTTAGATAAAGTTCTTCATTGGTTTAGTTGTTTCTCTACTCCTTTGCCTGAACCAACATTTGGTAATCGATTTCTTGGAGAGGAAGAAACAAACCAGTCCTTGTCGCCATCTCTATCTCCCGGACATAGCTCTCTTATGTCACCCGTGTCTGCACGGTAAGGAGATTAAGCATGATGGAATAAGTTTAGCTCTGTTTATTGTATTGATGAGACTTTATATGCTGAGAATTATTTATCGGTTAGTCTTGCAAAAGAGATGTACAAACCACATTACATTTAAATTCAAAAAGAGGTGAAAAATCATGTTTTGTTTTTTGAGACTAGTCTTTGACTTAAATTCGTACTAGGAGGACTTGATCTTTGAGTCCGATAATGAATTAGTTAACCACCAGAGTACCGTAATTTTATTTTTATTCCATTTGTTGATGTTTGATAAACTCATAATCACATATTCACATGTTTTGTTATTTTATCGGGTAATTACACTAAAAATAAGTTTTCAGGACAAATATCACAGATAAACTAAAATTTTTCCATTCCTAACATTTTTTATTTGAGTTTTCCGATTTTACCCTTTAGGAAAGGCTTTCTAAAAGTTTTTTTCTGTTAATATTTCGTGATTTTTTTAGTAAGGTTTTCCAAATACTAGACTTTAACATCGTTTTTCATATAGTTTATGAAAGCTTTCCTAAATTTTTAAAAATTTCTAAATTGTGGAAGGGCTTCTTGAATTGTGGAAGAATTTTCTGAATTATGGAAAGGTTTTTTGAATTTGAGTTGTATAAATTAACCAAAATAATAATCAATTATACGATTTATGAATGCATTCATAAATACATGTAATGACTTCCTTAATTTATACATTTTAGGAAAGTCTTCCTAAAACTTTAGAATATCTTCCTAAATTTACACTCATCTTCTTTCTCACATCTGCGACGTCCAAACCCTAATTCCCTTCACCATTATTGCTGTTTTAGCTTAAATTTCTTGAGTTTTTCACTCAATTATATAGATTTATCTATCATTATATGATTTTGAGCTTTAAATCATGAAATCACTTTCCCATAAAAAAATCCCAAAAATCTAAGAAATTCACAATCACAAATCACAATCAAATGAGAAGAGTGATTATAAACAAAACAAATAATTCGAATTTCCGATTAGTCTTGGTCATTGATACATTTGTTTGTACATTATTTTTTTTTCTCTTTTTATTAACTAATATTTTGTTTAACTAAGATTAATATGGTACAAAAATATTATGGATGAATTTTTTTAAAGTATTAGTGTATATATGGAACAAAAACTTAGATTAAATGCATTTGAAGGAATTTCTCTATTCTGTTTGTGTGGAAATAATTTTTTCAAAATTTACAAATTAAATTTGTATAAACCTTTTTCATTCAGTTCAAATTAAAAAAAAAAATCGATGGTATTAGACAGTACAACATACAGAGTAGTTAACTTAATCGGTTTCTTAACAAAATCAATCAATGTGATAACTGAACAAAAAAGAATCGATATTACACAAAATTCAATGTCGGTCTGAATTATTTTGATATTTCGGCTAATGATTTGAGCTATCAGTTCAGATCCAGTCGGTTCAGTCCGGTTCGGTTTCTTTAAACCGGATTGTACGGAAATTGTTTGTTCTTTGTAGAACCTTTTCGGCAAAGAACCGAACCTCTTGTCTCTTTGTCCGGTTGTCCCGAACGGTGGGTAGTTATCACTTATCCGATAACGAACCGGAGAAAGTCATGAATGCCACGTGCCAGCCTTAATGTGACGACACATGCCAGCTCATGCAGCGAAGAAGCTGGAAGCCACGTGGCACTCTCAGTCTCACCTCTTCAAAGAGAATTTTGTGGGATTTAAGGAAGTTTAGAAGTAGAAGCAACCTTCTTCTCTTTTAACTCGCATCGAAAGATTGTTTAGCCCAACACGCAACAACAACAAAAAGAACCCTAAATTCTCGAAAGAAGAATTAAAAAGCAAAAAAGCTAAACTGAAAGCGAAAGCAAGCTCGATTTTTTTTTGGGTTTTGAAAGCTACAAGCTTTGATTTTTGTGGGTTACAGTGTACGAACACGCAATCACAGCGTGAGATCTGAATAGAGATTAGCAAAAAGGGTCTCTTTGTATTTAAAAGATTATTTTTTTTCTCTCTTCAATCTTGATTACTGCAGATATCGGATATTGGAAACTAAGCAGAGATGTGTAGTTTGGCGACGAATCTCTTACTACCATCGAAGATGAAACCAGCTTTTTTAGAGAAACAGAGCAATAGCTCACTCTTTGTTACTAATAAAAGATCAAAGATGAAGAACAAGTCTATTGTTCCTGTAAGAAGCTCAAATCTTTTTCCTCAGAAAATTTTGTTTTCCTCCACTCTGTTTTTACAGTTTCTAATTTCGTTTTCTATGAAAGATCTGTTAATATTTCTTGAAAATCTTAGAAACAGAACAGTATTCAGATTCCATGGCTTTAGTTTTTATTTGCTCTGTTTTTTTAGGGTCTAGCTGTTCACTTTTGACCTATTTTTGGAATCTGAGTTTGATGAATCTTAATAAGGATTTGATCTGTCTGTGTTTTGATTGGTTCAAGGTTGCAAGATTATTTGGACCGGCGATTTTTGAAGCCTCCAAATTGAAAGTATTATTCTTAGGAGTTGATGAGAAGAAGCATCCAGCAAAGCTCCCAAGAACTTACACTCTTACTCACAGTGACATAACCGCAAAGTTAACTTTAGCTGTTTCTCAATCCATCAATAACTCTCAGGTACATCACAAACTCCTCAGAGTATGCTTAAAGCTTCAGAGTTTAAGCGTTCTAGATACTGATGTAAATTTTTTATTGATCATTGGTTTCACCAGTTGCAAGGATGGGCAAATAAGTTGTTCCGAGACGAAGTAGTGGCCGAGTGGAAAAAAGTTAAAGGTAAAATGTCACTTCACGTTCATTGCCACATTAGTGGAGGCCACTTCCTTTTGGATCTCATAGCCAAGCTTCGGTACTACATTTTCTGCAAAGAATTACCTGTGGTAAGTTTTCAGATATGGATTCTTGATACAGTTCTTGATACAAGATGAACTTATTATATTGAACTTGTTGATTTATAGGTATTGGAAGCTTTTGTGCATGGAGATGGGAACTTGTTGAATAGCTACCCTGAGCTACAAGAATCTCCGGTTTGGGTTTATTTTCATTCCAACGTACCGGAGTACAACAAGGTCGAATATTGGGGACCGCTTTGGGAAGCCACGCAGCACCAGCACGACGGGAATAGGACACGTAAAAAATGTGAAACCCTCCCGGAGCTACCATGTCCCGATGAGTGCAAGTGTTGCTTTCCTTCGATTAGCTCCATACCATGGTCTCGTCGTCACTATCAAGATAGTACAGATGATGAGAGTGTTGTGGGTGGCGAGTTAGGGATTTATATGCCTAACTCTGAGAGATTGAAGTAATAAATGTCAAGAAAATGTAATTTTTTCCTTTTTCTTTGGTGGTTAGAAAAGATAGAAGCAAAAGATGAATAGAAGCAAAGATGACAGTTTATTTGTTTGGTGTTAATCGTAATATGATAATTGTTTAACATAAAGTATCCTCTGTAATTGTTTCATGAGGTGGATAGTAGACTCACGTGTTATGTATGTTAATTAAACGATTATCAAGACAAGATTGCTTTGTTCTTTTGGGTCGGCAAACGTACAAGGTGAATGGTCTAAATACTAAGTTTCAAGTTTGCCATCAAGTTACACAAGCGTTAAAATTTTTTTTTGGATAATTTCTCTAGAGTTGAGAGAGATAACGAGAGATGTGTGGTTTGATGGCAAATTTTTTACTCTCAACAAATCTGAAGCCAGGTTTTCCAGATAAACAAAGAAGTATCTTAGTCTTACCTGCTACTACAAGATCCAAGAGAAAGAACCAATCTATTATTCCTGTAATAATTTAAATTCTTTCCTTGAAAAATGTTAAAGAGCTTTTTCTGATTTTTTTTTTTAAAATCCTTTTTGACCCATATGCTCTGTTTTTCTTTTGTCCAACAAGATGAAAATATCTGTTACTATAATAATTGTATTATCTTGATCAGGTTCTGATGTTAGTCTCTTCCACCTATTTGATATATTTTTATTCTTTTTAAATGGTTAAGGTTGCAAGATTGTTTGGACAAGCGATTTTCGAAGCTTCTAAACTCAAAGTATTGTTCTTAGGAGTTGATGAGAAGAAGCATCCATCAAAGCTCCCAAGAACTTACACTCTCACCCACAGTGACACCACCGCTAAGTTAACTTTGGCTATATCTCACTCCATCAATAATTCTCAGGTAAATTCTATTACTAATCACCTCTCCTCCATTTAACATATTTGAAGACATTGTAAATATAGTATGTAAACTATTTTGGTTCGCTGTTTAACCAGTTGCAGGGATGGGCAAACCGATTGTACCGGGACGAAGTAGTTGCTGAGTGGAAGAAGGTGAAAAGTAAAATGTCGCTTCACGTTCATTGCCATATTAGTGGTGGCCATTTCCTTTTAGATCTCATTGCAGAGCTTCGATACTTCATTTTTTGCAAAGAATTACCGGTGGTAAGTCCTGTTATCGAGTATGAAGTATCAACCAAATGATAGTAGTCGAGTGGTTAACTACATTTTAGTATATGGTCCATATGATATGTAACAATGTGTTATGTGTGGTCTTTTAATCATGATATTGAACAAATTGATTTTAGGTGTTGAAAGCATTTGTCCATGGAGATGGGAACTTGCTAAACAAATACCCTGAGCTACAAGAAGCTCCTGTTTGGGTATATTTCCATTCGAACATGCCCAAGTTCCACAAGGTCGAATGTTGGGGACCACTGCACGAGGCGACTTCACAAGATGGTAATGGAACTCACACGTGCGAACCCCTACCGGAACGACCTTGCGTTGATGAATGCATCTGTTGTTTTCCGACGGTCAGCACTATTACGTGGTCTCACTCTCATGCCAGCCACGGTGAAGAAGATGAGGATGAAGTTCTAGTGGGAAGGAATGTTGTGATTAAGTTGCATAATCGTAGAAAAAGAAAATAGTAACGCAAAATAAATTAAAAAAAATAGTAATGCAAAGTAGACGCATCTTAAGATGTATAGTGTGAAAGAGTCGGTGAGACAAAATTATCATCACATGCAATGATGTATCACGTCCCTCTAGTAACTTGATAATGCAAGTTTTTGAAAATTAGACGTATCTTAAGATGTGTAGTGTGAAAGGGTGGGTGATACAAAATTAATATCACATGCAATGATGATGTATCACGTCCCTTTAGACTAACCTAATGGAAAAAATTCGTTTTTAAATATATTTTATTATTTTATTTTAGATATTAGGTGTTTTAACTCAAAAAATTATTTTATTTTAGATACTGAATATATTATTTTAGATCATTTTACTATTTTTTATTCATTTTTATTATTAAGACTTTTTATTTTAGACATCCAAAATTCTCTTTTGTGGTTGTTCTTATGGTTGCTCTTAGTAACTTGATAATGCAAGATTTTGAAAATTAGCCACCTTAAAAAAAAAAAAAACTAGCTTATGTTTACTAGGTTAGTTTTTGTAAAAATATAAGTTTAAATCGGTGGCTGGAGTCAATTATCATGGATTTACACTCGGTTCTCCACATCAGGTGACTATTCAAGTATTCAATATGGTATACAACTGCAACGTTGTTCCTTATTACATTTTGAGCAGAAAGTGACTTAGCATTTGATTTTATTACATTGTACAACATAATGGTGAGAAACAGACAGTGACCTGATTTGGTTGTATATGTATCATAATTCTATAAGAATAACGTGGAGGCAGAATTATTTTGGCGAGCAAAGAGACTAGTCTTAGTCCCACCAACTTCTTTCTTTACGATCCGGACATATGTTTTTTTCAACAGATACAAAACCGTCTATGTTGCAAGAGCCCGTCTATATGAATGAGTGATTAGAGTTTTCGTACAAAATGGACTAGACGATGGTTTAGATGGCATCTAGGTGCTAAACGGATTATAATTATGGCAAATCACATTCTAGACCTTAACCAAAAAAAAAAAATCACATTCTAGACGTTATTTATAATATTTTTGCTTTCACACTTCTGAGAGACTTCGGTGAGAGATCATTGATAACGACTTATGCTGCATGGAAGGTTAACACAGCTTAAATAACGCATACTTGGGCGATCTAGTCGTTTTATCCGCCTATTACACATTTTCCGTTAAACTTAAAACTTTATCCGTCTAAATCTTTAAAGTTAAAGAAAGTATGGTATTACAACAACAAAATTATATTAATTTTTTTTTTACGCACAGTGCAATTATTGTCTTATATAGTTTTTACTGGCACATGATCAATTTTTTATTCACGTGGAAAATGCAGGGAAGGAAGGAATGGTACAGGATGCAAAAATTATTTGAGGGAAGGAAGAGTATTTGTTGTTGTCACACTAACTTTGTTAATTACTGGAATACGCTTATTAAGAAGTAATAATAACTGATAAGAAAACTTCATATTTATCAGTAAAATTTATTTATATAAACACATAGCAAAGCCTAGTTCATAATTCGTTGGTGTGATTTTGTTTTAAATCTAAATCATTCTGGTTCTGTACAAACTAGGCCTGGGCACGGAGCGGATATCCAGAATTTTAGTGATATCCGTGATCCGCTCCATCCCGTACGGATCAACAATTTTTTGATCCGTATTTGCTCCGTTATTAATCGGATATCCGGTATTCGGATATCCGTTAAAATCCAGATTTTTGACCGGATATCCGATCAGTTTCAAAAATATTAGATTAATTATAAAATAATTAAAAAATTTATAAAATAAATAAAATTATTTATAAAAATAATTAAAAAGTCAAAAATTAACTCATATAATAAATTTTAAATTGTTCTTATTAAAATTTGTTAAAATTTTGTATTAAAATAACTGATAAAATAAATATAAATTCACAAAAATTTACATATAATTATATTAACTATACATTCTATATGTAATTATTTTTATATATATATATATATATATATATCGGAGCAGATCGGATATCCGGTTTTTAGAATTTTAATATTTGTGATTTGCTCCGTTTTTAACGGATATCAAAATTTAATATTTGCTTTGCTCCGTAAAACTATGGATATCCGAATTTTTCGAATCAAATCGAAGCAAATAGCAGATCGAATCAAATATAACGGATAATTTGCCCAGCCCTAGTACAAACGTGTTTAATTACTGGAGCGGTGGGACCTGGTTGATTCTCCCACCCTTCACGGTAGTGATGGCTAAAGAATCCTTGTCTGCCATAATTACATTTTACTTCAACACATGCGGTGAAATAAAAGTGAAATTAAACTTAGGTTGAAAAGTAGCTAACTATAGAGTGATTGAAAATCACAATAACGTTCGTTGACTGTTCTACAAGAATAAAGTTCATCTGGCAAGGAGGAAATCTGCATTCTACACTCTCTTTGGTGTAAATCAAAAGTTTCAGGAAAAATTATTATATATACAGAAAAATCCAATCTATAATACATCGGAGAAGGAAAAATCTAAAGAAACCCAGATCACACTAAAAAGAACTTAAATAGAATCTGTTTCTACTTTCTACTAATTTCTACTAATTTCTGCATCCTCAATGAACAAACTCTATGGGAGGTTTGGTTAGGACGACCAACTAGAGGGAAGAATCACCTCAAGATGTCACCGAATCGTTGTTCTACCACCGAAGGACGATGCCCCGATTTTGCCCTCCCTGTCCTGAGAATTGAAACAGAGACTGGTGTGAGTGTTTGTTTTCACAGAATTAAGGGTTAAGACTGGAATTTATATGGCTTGGGGTTCTTTACCTGAGATTTCGGGGAAGGGAAGACATTCCAGAATCTTAAGGTTTCATCTCCTGCTCCTGTCACGATCGTCTGCAACAAACAAAGGCCACACAAGAAAAGTGTGTTGATGCAAGATTCTGAGAAATCAGCAAGATTTTGAGATTATGATTATGATGAAAAGATAAAAAAAAGACTAACCTGTCCATCTGGTGATACCGCAAGGTACAGAACGCGAAACGTGTGACCCGTGAGAGTTGCTAACTGTAAGAGAAGACAGAAAAAGTTAAAGTTCCAATCGTTAAAATCCCAAATCCAGCAAGAAAGATAAGAAACTGAAAAGTTAGAAGAAGACAGAAGTCTTACTTTAGACATGGTTGGGTATTTCCAAACGATGATTTGGTTTTGGGAGTATCCATGAGTACTCACAAGCTCGTTCACGTTCTTAGACCAAACCAAATTACACACCTGAATAAAAGAAAACGGTTATAAACAAAAAAAAAAAAAAGACACGATTTAAAACGCTGGTTTCTATTCAAATCCAGGAGAAGCGGGGTTTCACCTGACTGTTAGTGTCTACGCAACTTAAATGAGTGTTCGTTGTCGTGTTCCAGAAACGGATGCATCTATCAGCAGTGCCACCACCTGAAGCAAGAACTCCGTGAAGATGCGGGGACCAAGCGATGGCTTTAACCGCTGCTGTGTGTTCACAGTATCTCAAAACCGGATGCGTTGAATGTTGGTTCCATACAAAAAGCTGCAAGATCATCGAACTGTTACTCGTGTTTTCGAGATTGTAGTAATGTGTTTTTCAAAGAGACGATATGAAGGATTTTTATTGTTTACCTTATTGTCGTTTCCGCCTGATGCTAGCTCCCGGTTGTCACAAGACCATTTGAGTCCACAGACTTCGGATTTGTGACCTGTTAGCTTGCTGATATGATCTTCCTGAGACCGAATGTCTCTGTGTAGTATACTCTTGTCTCTGCTGCCAGAAGACAGAACCGATGAGCTCCATGCCAAAGCTCCAACTCGTAGTCGATGACCTTCCATTGTTCTTATTCTCTTGCAGCGAGGCGCATCCCAGATCTAGTGAACGAAAAAAACAAAAAAAAATAATTCAAAATATGAGAAAGTCCTCCACAAAACTTTCAAAAACTGTAAATACATAAACTAAGAATAAGTTTTAGAGTGTGTCCATCTTAGCCACCAATAATCAGTCTATGGCGGCCTAATTTAGATTCGGAGATACTAAGAAACAAAGATGTGTGATGAAAAGAAACAATTGTTCCAAATATGTTCAAGAATCCATTAAAGGATATGAAATGCATTCTTCTAAGACTAATCACTTGCAGAAAGCCACATCATTTCAGGTCTAATCACATTGTGTTTCACAATGTACGACTGTCCGTAGATGAATAGAGGCATGAAAGGACTCAAAGAGCCAAATGTGTCTTCTTCAACATACCTCTACAGTTCCACTACTAGTTCCAATCGCCAAATGTGTTCCACGTAGAGACCATCCGACTGAGCAAACGTCATCGACCCCGAGATCGCATAACTTAGTTACCTGCAAACAGCAGAAAGACATTCCAAGTCAATACACTCTTCAAGAAACAAGAACGAGTCAAAAGGTTATATAAATCAGGAAGAGAGAAGAACAGAAACTCACCTTGCTACTAGAAGCATTCCACAAATAAACGCAGTTCCCTAATCCAACCGCAAGAACATTTTGTGCAGACCAATCCACGAGATTCAAGTAAAAATCATCTTGCAGAGCAGGCGCATCCAATACCTTAACAACAACAACATCCACAGGACAAATGCAATATCAGGAAAAAAGCTACATTTGTAAAGAGTAGAGATTACGCATTCTTCAAAAAACAGTCCCCTACAACACTACCAAACACTTCAACAAAGATCTCAGTTTCATACATAAATGCAAGTAAAAGAGACGAAATTGAGGGAACAATCAAGAATCGCAAGCCTCAAAAACCTTAAATTCTATTAACAATACACAAATCCATCCAAGAAAACACAGATCCACACTCAAGTGACTCTAATTTCAGCCCACAAACCCTAAAACCCCAAACTTTAAAACCCTAAAACACCGTAAAAGAAAACCCACAAGAGATCGACAGAGACTCTCACCTTATAAGCCGACCTAACAATCTTCCTCGGCGACTTAACGGGGCTAGGGCTAACACCAGGGGACTCATCAGAGCCAAAAGGCGAGAACGAGTTCACTGGCCGCTGCGTCTCCGTCTTATACCGGAAAATATTCCGCGACGGAGAGAACCCAGCAACGACATCTCTCTTCTCCGGCGTCTCCGGCCCGAAAAGAGCGGCTCGCAACATACCGGCGTAAGAACCCGCCGCTTCTTCCTTCCCGTCCTTATTCGGCGACGGTTCGAGGCCGAAAAGCGCGAAATTAGAACCGGATCTACTCGGAATAAACCTATCGGAGTAGATAGGCTTAGACGGAGAGCAATAATGGTTGGAATCGATTAAACGGTTGATTCGGGTCTCGAGTGAGACCGTCGGTCGATTCATCGACGGTGGGAGATTCAGCTGAGGAGCCGTCTTCCCCGTTTGACTACTCCCTGGAGGATCTTCCTCCATGGTTGATTTGATTCTCTTGCTTTTTCGTTCCTCCAGGATTCGAGATTTGCGTAGAAAATGAAATCCTTTCTGTTTTTCTTTTTGTTCTCACTTTCCTTTTTTTTTTCTTTCCCGGGAAATTCTTGGGGGAAACAGAAAACGTCAAGGGGAAAATTGGTGCGAAAACAAGGTAGAGATCAGGTGTGGTAGGGTTTATAGTTGATAGAGTAAGTCCTTTGGTACTATGGACATTTGAATTGGGCCTGAAACTCACCCATAATTAGGTTTACAGCCCAATAAGTTTTTTTTGTCACAGCCCAAAGTACTCGTTTTGGCAATTTTTGTAAAGACTACTTACGATAATACATTTTGTTCTACGGTAGGGGACTATCATAATTTTTTTTTTTTAATATACAGTAGAAATAAGAAATGGGTGTGTGTGTAAGTTTATCTCCTAATTGGAACTCAATTTTATTGTAAAATGTATGCTGCTGTCGTATTTATATGGTGCCCACAGTTTTAATTCTTACTATTCGTTGAAATTAAGATGGTAAATACTATATTTATTTAAAAGACAATTCTGATATATGAAGCAAAGTTACTAAAGACATTAAGAATAAAAGTTGAATATCACAATACCTTAGCTGGATCGGAAATGAATTCAGGTAAAACTGAGATAAATATATCTTTTCTTAATACTTTAAACGCCCATTATGTATCGGTTTAGATAAATTCAACAATATTCGTAAGATACTAGTGTTTGTCCCTTCAATCTTTCTAACACTTTGAGAATCGAAGTCGGCGAACGCTAAATTTATAGGTACTCTAAAAAATAACAATAAAAATGAATAAATAAGTAAATTGTGTTTTTGATAACTGTGTGTAGAATGATAAAAGATGGCTTGTTATAAAGCAGAAAAGATGGCTTGTTATAAAGCTTACAACTACCTCAACATAACTCAAGTGAGTAGAGAGATTGAGAAGTTATTATCATCATAAATTAAATTGATTTTGCATTTAATTGCCACTTGATTCATGTTATCAACATCAATGATAGGTGATTTTTTGTTTTTGTTTTTTTTGATTTTGTCAACAACAAAATTCTAAAAGATTAAACCTCAAAACAATTTTCTTTTGATCCATTAGTACATTTGCCAAATTATGAAGTATAAAATAGAAGTCTAGTTCAAATATCTCCTCTCTACAATAAACCAAAGTGTGTAGGTTTTTGAATCTCGTTGTGATTTTTCTACTTTATATATAAGGAGAAATTTACCTCATGCTTCTAATGTGAAGCATTTGCTAGTTCTTATTGTTGGATAAACTTTAAAAATTTGGAGACAACAAAGCATTCTAGACCTTACAAGCTAAGGTGGCTCACCGATGATATCGAGCTCAAGATAGCGGACCAAGTAAGTGTTACATTCAGTGTGGACAAGTACTTGGACAAGGTGACATGTGATGTAGTACCTATGCAAGTAGGACATCTCCTGTTAGGGAGTCCATGGCAATTTGTCAAAGAGATTATACACAATGGCTGTACCAATCACTACTAGTTCACTCATGACAAGCGCAAGTACAATCTAGCATCCCTTACGCCAACATAAGTGCAATAAATGCAAGTGGCCGTTTGCTATTACTAATAATTTAAAGGTACGTAAGACTAATCTTTTTGCTACTACTAAGATTATTATAAGAGCTTTAAATTGTCAAGATATGGTGATACTCATGGTCTTTAGAGAAGGGTTACTTTCAGAGGCTAGAGAAACAGAGTTGTCTGTGGAGATCAGAACCTTGCTAGACAATTATCAAGATATTTTCCCTTAAGAGATACCCTCAGAGTTGCCATTAATCAGGGGAATTTAGCATCAAATAGATCTTGTACCAGGCTCAGCCTTACCCAACATGCCATCTTACTGAATGAACCCTGCCGAGACCAAGGAGTTAGAGAAGTATATTCAAACCTTGATGTCCAAGGGATACATTAGAGAAAGTCTAAGTCCATGTGCGGTTCCGATCTTATTGGTGCCTAAAAAAGACGATATGTGGTGCGTGTGTGTAGATTGCTGAGCAATCAATAACATCACCATCATACACCGCCATCCTATTCCCCACTTGGATGACATGCTAGATGAGCTCAGCAAAGCTACCATCTTCTTAAAGGTCGACTTAAAAAGTATATACGTTTTGTATCTTTATGTTCTATTTTTCCTTCTTATTGATTTATTCAATTTCTTGTTTTCTTCTTCAAGAAAGTTTCACATTCCGTGGACCTAAACTCGTGAAATTTTCTATGTCATTACAAGAAGAAGGAAAAACAAAACGTAACGACATAAAAGATTTAACGAGTTTAGGTTCACGGAATGTGAAACTTTCTTGAAGAAGAAAACAAGAAATTGAACAAAGCAATAAGAAGGAAAAATAAAACATAAAGATACAAAACGAATATACTTTTTAAGTCGACCTTTAAGAAGATGGTAGCTTTGCTGAGCTCATCTAGTATGTCATCCAAGTGGGGAATAGGATGGCGGTGTTTGATGGTGATGTTATTAATTGTTCGGCAATCTACACACACGCACCACATACCGTCTTTTTTAGGCACCAACAAGACCGGAACCGCACATGGACTTCTTTCTCTAATGTATCCCTTGGACATCAAGTTTTGAATATACTTCTCTAACTCCTTGGTCTCGGCAGGATTCATTCAGTAAGATGGCATGTTGGGTAAGGCTGAGCTTGGTACAAGATCTATTTAATGCTAAATTCCCCTGATTAGTGGCAACCCTGAGGGTATATGTGGTAGCCCGACCTGGCAAACCATACCGCAGCCGTGCCCCACTACATCCTAACAGTTCGGTTTCTATACTTAGCCAAAATTTTAAACTTTTCTTTCATTTAACCAATACACAGCGGATTTAAAACAACTTATTTCATTCCATTAAAATTGCATAAAAGCACATAAACAAGATTCGGGGTTATCATAAACAAAACACCATGGTTCGCTAACGATTACAAACGATCATCTAGCAACCTAACGATCAAACACCAAAGCCATAAGACCCTAACACAAGTCTTAAATCATAAAACACCCAATCTCCGATCCATCCATGTCCATCACTGCCGCCTGGTCTCGCTCCCTTTACTGCTGATTACCTGCACACTCAAGAAGAGAGGCATAAGTATTTCATAAATACTTAGTGAGTACGGTCATCCCGTAACACCTGGTCAGTACCAATCACGCATTCATACTATCAGATTCAACATCCCACACAATCAATTCGTAATAGACATAACATATATATCAAACAGCCATGATCATCTAACCTAACAAACCAAGATCAATCCCTTTTTAAGACCCATGTCTACTTCAGCGAGAATCCCACATCCCCTAAGCTAGTACATGATCCAGATTACCCTGAGGTTAGGTAGACATCATCTATGCCACGGTAAACACTTCACAATACCATAACATGCATTCGCTTAACAGTTCTAAACACACAACATGAAAATCACACAATCAAACATGCACAACATCAAACCCTAGCAATCCAACGATCCTAGAAACCAACCACAGTCACGCACTCACCTTAAACAAGGCTGGAAACAGATTGGTCAAAAGAAATCTTGATGAAATCCGCACCAAATCGAAGATATCCGATCACCCTAGGAATCTCTCGGCTGCCTGTACGATCCGATCCCTTTCCCTTCGGATATCTCTCGATCCGTTCACCTTTCTCCGAGCCAAACTCTGTTTACTCTCGGAAACCCCACAAAACAAGGCTATTAGCTCGAGGTTATCCGATGAAAACTCAACACTTAGGGAATTATTCAGTCGCTTACCGATTTATCTCAGCGATGGTCGGATCTGCTCGGCGATAGCTCTATCTCTCTTGAATGTCCTCGGGATAAACTGATTTTCTTAGGGTTTTCTCTCGACTAAACTCTTTCTCTTGCTTTGTTATTCGCAAATAAACGCAACACCCCGAGCTAAGTCTCAAAAACACCTTATATACTTGCAAAACCCTAGGTAACTCGGACTTAACCGACGTTTCTCAGTTCCAGCAAGGTTTATCCCGAACCGCTTAGATTTTCTCTCGGCTATTGCCTATAGCAACGAGCTGGTGGCAGTCTTGCTAACGCTTGAAAGACATTTTCAAAATCTTGCACCACCGGTATACTGCCCAAGTCAACATCCGGTCCTCTTTCTGTGGTAGTGACCGTTGCTAGATACGCCTCACAACCCTTCTCTATCAGCCGTTCTGCTTGAATAGCTGAAACCACCAAACTTCCAGAGGTTGGTCTAACTCCCTGATAAACCAAGACCTCTCCGTCTCTCTCAAACCGCACCCTTCCACGGTGACAATCCAAGTGAGCTTTGTACTTGCCTAACCAGTCCATTCCCAAAATGACATCGTAGGACTTAACTCTACAGATCACTAGATCCGCTGGCATGTTCACTTCGCCAAACATCACTGGAACATTCTTGACCGTTCCTAGTGAAAACATCACTTGGCCTCCAGCCGCTTGTACTAATCCAAAGTCCTCTCCAGATTTCTTATGGAACTGACCCTTTCCGATCATATTCGGGTTAACAAAACAATGACTCGCTCCCGAGTCAAACAGAACATAGGTTTCAACCTCAACCATTAGCAAGGTCCCTACACATTCATTCCCTAGAATGCTAAGACTCTATATTAACACACAACACGCAAAAGCATTTCATAAAACTTTATGTACCACACGTACCAGTAATCGGATGAGAAGTGCTCGGTTCGTTAGCTGCTGCTGCACTTGTCGTGTACACCCTCGGCATAATGGCCTGTCTCTTGGCCTGTGATGCAAGCGCCTCCCCTGCTCGCTTCCCTTGAGCCACGGCTTGCTCCACCACTCCTGCATTAGGACACTCACGCTTGAAATGCCCTGGTTCTCCACAACCGTAGCACACCCAAACCGCACTGTCACTGCCGGACAGACGAACCACTCTATGATCCTCCTTCGAATAGTCTTGTACCCGATGCTCTAAGCTTTCGCACCTGTGGCATCCACTACCACCGCGTCTACACTCGCCAACGTGAGCCTTGCCACACTTGCTGCACACGCTGCGTCCCTCTGATCCTTTGTTTGGTACCTCTTTCCCAAACTTCCGGTTCTGTCCACTAGATTGACCCGCCTTGGTC